TAGCAAAAGCAGGTCACTTGACTTGCTTACATTGGGCTCTGATTTCTACATCTTGACTCTTAGTTTGGGTATGTGTTGATCTTGAAATGCATCAAGAAGGGGCCCACAGCATCTCTCCCACGTGTAGCTCCCCTGTTCCTCTCCACCCCCTACTCTTTCAGGAGACAATTTTGCCTCCTTCACTAAGATCCATACGTGTATCCTAAGGTCTCTCTCTCTCTCTTTACTCAGTGTCACTGCCTTTATGGCTGTTTCTAATTTCTCCCCATAATTGTAGTGAAATGGATTTCTTTCCTTAGGAAGAGTAACATTTCCATGAATATCTCAGATGCCATTCCTCTTTCCTTGTAAGAGTCATTCTTTCTGCTCTACTTCAAAATCTTTAAATACCTCAGGCCCCATACACTTCTCTCCTCTTTTGCAATCTCTGAGAACAATTGGCTGGAGTATTCTGTGAGGAGGAGTGTCCTCTCATTTCTCTGATTATTTTTTTTAAGATTTTATTTATTTATTTGATAGCAAGAGACACAGAGAGAGAGGGAATACAAGCAGGGGGAGTGGGAGAGGGAGAAGCAGGCTCCCTGCTGAGGAGGGAGCCTGATGCAAGGCTTGATCCCAGGACTCTGGGATCATGACCTGAGCTGAAAGCAGACACTTAATGACTGAGCCACCCAGGCTCCCCTCTCTGATTAATTTTTTTTTTCTGTTCCCTCTATTGATTATGGCCTGGGCTCCTCACCCTTTCCACACTATTCTCACTTGTTCACTCATCCATTTATTCATTCATTCAGGATTCATAGAGGATCTAATAATCTGCCTGGTACCAACCTGAGCATAGGAGTACAGCAGTAAGCAGAGCACACGGCTGTTTTCATGAAGCTTACATCCTGATAGGAGAAACCAGAAAATAAGCAAGTGCATTAAATTTCAAATAAAATAATTTTGGATAGTAAGAGAAGATATAAAGAACAAGAAGCAGGATAATGACATAGAGAGTAGCTTCAGGTGGGGAAACTGAACAGGAGCATGACCGGGAGTGCCACTCTAAGGAGAGGTCATCTGAGGCAAGACCCTAATGATAAGAAACCAGACAGAGGATAAAGAACATTCTGGGAAGAGGGGACATCTGGCACAAAGGCTCTGTGATGGGAAAAAGCTTAATAACTTTGTGTAATGGAACATTGTGAACAAGACAGGGAATGGTAGACACAAGTGTGAAGATCTAGCCAGGCCTCAGGGCAGGTGAGGAGTCTAGATTTTATTAAGTGCAATGAAATGCCATTGAAGGGCTTTAAGCAAGGAAGGTACATGATCTTATAAAATACAAAATACAAAAAATCCTCTGGCTGCTGTTTGTAGACTAGAATGGATGGTTTCATCATCATCTGTAAGGGGAAGATAATCTTCAGATTGGGAAAGGTTAAACACAAAACAGTAAAAAAAGCATTGAAGCCAAAATGGCAGAAAGGAAGAAGGCATAACTTAAACAATTAAAATGAATTAAAAACTCTTAGAACAAAGCAGAAGTTACTTCAGGGAACTTAAGTTACTTGCCAAGTGACAGAAAGCCACTGCCAAAAAAATCAAAGGAAATGTCAGAAAACTGAAAAGACCAAATGCTCCTATTTTCAATAGAAGAGAGAATTTCACATGCAGACTAGAGGCAAGCACACTGTTCCTAAAAATCTCATGTAAAATCCTCAAAGTGACTGAAATGGGACTGGTAAACATTTAGAAAAGAACATTGTGATTATTTCTTAATAGCACAAATGGATGTAAGAAAGATTATGTAAAATTAAACCAGTTCCCACTGTGGTAGTGGTGATGTATGTGGGGGTGGTGGTTGACAGATTTATCAGACTGAAAATATCTCAGTTACTCTATGTATTTGGATGGGACTTTCAATAAAATCATAGAATCTCAAAGGTTCTTGGAACTTCATCAGTAATTTATTCCAAATGTCTAACCTATAGAAGATTTTTTTCCCCCTGCACCATCCCAGTAATTTTTTAGAGAACAACTTCTTGAACATAACAAAAGATAATTCCTTCCACTTTGGAATTGTTTGAAATATATTGCTGAAAATCTATTTCCATGTAAATGTAAACCATCGATCCTACCTCTTTTCTCTGGACCATTATCAATGTAATTTTTCTCCCATGTGTCCTTTGTGTTAAGTTTTCAGGATATGTCATGCTGTAAGTATGGAAAATAGAGAGAGATACCTTTAGTATTTATTTGTGATTGAACAACCATACCAAAAAGTCTAATTAGGAGCTCATTGTCACGTTAGAGTGAGGTCTCTAGAATCATGTTGAAGGACTCTTCTTTGGTTTTCCCCCCCCCATTAAAAAAAAAAAACCTATATTTGGATCAGGTGATTGTCAAGCCTAGAGGTAAAACAAAGCTGAAGAAGAGAGATATGTTGGATGATTGAATTTGGATTCAATAAGAGTATTAACAGGAGGTGACAGTTAGTTGAAGCTGATAAATTTTAACAACAATAAAGTAGTTCCATAATCATTTTTCCAAAATTCCCCGTATAACTAAAAATGACTCTGCAACAATTCAAGTGAAAAATACTTAGGAATTTTATTTTATTTAAAGATTTTATTTATTTTTTTTGACAGAGAGAGATCACAAGTAGACAGAGAGGCAGGCAGAGAGAGAGAGAGAGAGAGAGGGAAGCAGGCTCCCTCCTGAGCAGAGAGCCCGATGTGGGACTCGATCCCAGGACCCTGAGATCATGACCTGAACCGAAGGCAGTGGCTTAACCCACTGAGCCACCCAGGCGCCCTACTTAGGAATTTTAATTGACGACAAGCTCATTTTGAGTGACATACGGCAGCAAATGTATTTGAATCGACATACCTTCTGAAGCAGGTGTGGCCATAATTCCCCTGGATTTATGCTGGTCAGACCACACGGGGAACATCATTTCCTGTTCTAAATGTCACTTTGAGAATCATGCTGACAAACTAAAAATCCTCCTGAGAAAGTGACAAGAACAGTTTGAGGACCACTTCATGGAGTGTGGGGAGGGAAGAGGAATGTACAGAATTTGACTCAATGTAAAGAAAAACTTCTTTAAACAGTAGAAGGGACAGGTACCTGGGTGGTCTCACTTAGCTAAGCATCTGCCTTCAGTTCAGGTCTTGATCCCAGGGTGCTGGAATTCACTCCAACATAGTCCCTGCTCAGTGGGGAGTCTACCTCTCCCTCTGCCCCTCCCCCCTGCTCATGCTCTCTCTCTTGCTCTCTCCTTCAAATAAAAAAATAAAATCTTCTTTTTAAAAGATTTTTTTTTTTTTTAATTTGACAGAGAGAGAGAGAGTGAGAGGGGCAGAGGGAGAAGCAGACTCCCCGGCCAAGCAGGGAGACTCTGGGATCATGACCTGAGCTGAAAGCAGACGCGTAACCAACTGAGCCACCCAGGCGCCCCCCAAAATAAAATATTTTCTTAAAAATCAGAAGGGACTAACTTGGGAAGTAGTAAGCTCTTACCCCTAAAAAGGGTCGAGCCTATTCATCAGGAATGTTCTTGGGGAATTCATGAATTGAACAAGTTGAATTAAGTCAACTTTAATTTCTCTTCCAAGCTTAATACATTGTGCTTTAAGGGCTGGCCTTCAAAACAACATAGAGTTTATGGCCTGGTGGCTCCCTGCCCAGGAAGAAGATCCGATCTTGGCAACCTTCTGCTATTCTGTCATATGTTAGGAAAGAGAATTTCCTGCCTATGGTTCGTTTACAGTCAGCTGTTACTCTCCCGTTCTTTTTTGGAATATCGGTGTCAAGCTTCCCCTTTTGGAAAGGGAGCAGGAGGGAATAAGAAGGGGGAGGGGGAGATTTTTGTATTAATCTTTCATTTCAGTTCCAGGCATTCCTAATCGAGTGGATATAACAAATCTGAGTTAGAATGTAAAGTTTCAGGTTTCCCTTCTAGAGATGGGGCGGGGGCGCTGAAACAGCTGTTAGGACTAGGGAGTGGCTAATAGTTGGAAGAAGCCAAACCACAGTCTGTCTCCTTTTAAACTAAAAAAAGAAAAGAAAAAAAGCGATTAGAGCAAGAGGGAGCTGCCCCCACCCACAGCACCGCTCTTGGGCTAACCTTTGGGTCACCTCCCTGGACGAGGAGGTGAACATGGGAACAGGTGCACCTCACTCCTCTCCACTCCTCCTAAGCAGGGATTATCTTGCTGTGTTCATAGTGTCCGGAACTAACTAATCAAGGCTAGACAAAGAATAGATTGGAAGAACAGAAGGGGCTGGGGTCGGGGGAGAGAAGCCCAGAGCTTCTCGGGTACAGTGTATATTACAGATGACATCATTGCCTGAAAAAGATTCGGCCCTCCCCTTCCCGGAGCTGGAGGCAAGCATGCGTGTGCGGGAGCAGAAGTGGGGTTGCCTGGAGGGTGTGAATTGGTGCGAGGGGGTGTGCCCGTGCTGGGGAGAGCTGCCGGGATGTGAAAGGGAGACCTGGAGACAGCGGGCTAGCAGAGAAACCGCGAGGTCTGGAGGTGTTTGCGCCGCTCTAAGCTCCGCCCCTCGCTCTGCCGCCGGTTCTGCCCTGGGAGGGGCACGCCTGTTTGGGGGTGGGGAGTGTGTGCACGAAGGGTGGGTCCGGGTAGCGGTGGGGGTGGACAGCCGCCTGCGCATGTCAAGGCTGACTGAACATACGCGGTCAAAGGGGACCTGGAGAAGGGCAGTAGGTCACCCGCCACCCAGGGTCCGGGACCGGGCACGATCCCGGGGCGAGCTCCGGAGAAGGGGCCCACCCTCCCTGTCCCCTCCCCCTGAGATCGGCAGCGCGACAGGAGCTTCCGCCTCCTTCCCCGCCCCTCCGGACCTTCCCGGGGAGCGGAGGGCGGGTGTGGACGGTACCGAGGTGGAACGAATTTTGGAGCTCAGACGGGTGGCCCGGGTGGCTTCGGGTGTCGGGGGGCACGCCCAGCTTGGAGAGCCGGTGCAGGCGGATGAAGCCGAAGCTCCTGGGTCTTGGCGGATCCTGGTCTGAGCATAGCTATTCCCAGGGGAGGTGAGAGGTGGATCAACATGGACCCCTTCGACAGCCCAGCCGCCTAGGGCCCTCCGCGCTGCTCTCTTCAGAGCTGAGCTGTCACCGAGGCGCAGACAGAAGCCTCTGAGCGCCTGGAATTTGTGAAGTTCCGGGGTGGGCGGGGAAGGCACTGTCCGTGGTGCTGAGCCGGATCCCAGCAACGGGCTCCGGGGAGAGCGCGCGAAGCTGCTCATCGGCTCCCTCGAATTGGGGCGGTGCGCTAGGGTAGCTTGGAGCTGAAACCCCCGCCCGGCTCGGAAAGCCCCCGGAAAGCCTCCCCAGTCGCTGGCGCTTGACCCTTATTTCAGTCAGAAAGTCGCCCCCTTGGGGCAGTTCGTCCCAAAGGGTTTCCTCGAAAGTATCTGAGAGGGCGAGTTGTTGACCAAGGGAATCTCTCTGTTTAGCCTCGGAAGCCACCCGCCGGAAAAAAGATGCCTGCCTTCAACAGATTGTTTCCCCTGGCTTCCCTCGTGCTCGTCTTCTGGGGTAAGTACCGGCACCCTGCCGTGCGAAATGCAGATAACAGTAATAGTGCCAACAATAATAACACTTAATTCATGTCGTTTGTGACAGAAAGGAGCCCTGGCTGGCTTCCCTCTATGCTTGTCTGCCAGACACGGAGCTCCATAGGGGTTCCATGAGAGCTGGGATTTTGAGATTGGAAAAACACGTCCTCAATCCTGCTGCTTTATTCCTGAGCCACCCTTGGTGGTTTTTCCACCCCTCTTCCTGTTTCCTGTTAATTCCAAAGTATTTTCCCCCCTTTCCTTTGCTGAAAGGGAATGCAGCTACGTTCGTTATGAAAAATCTCAGTTGCATTTACATTTCATTTTTCAATGAGGAATCAGTCGGTCTTCAGATTAATTCCCATGTCTTTTTTTAAAAAGCTGGATGCACGCATTTTGAGAATGAAAACACTTTAGCTGTCGGCCCATTTTTAAAATTCTAACAAGGAAAATAGGCTTCAGCCATTTGCAGCTATGCCTTTGATAAATGGGCACCTGGGCATTGCATCTTTATTCTTTTTCATGAGCATCTGAAGCTAAGGTGCTTTGGTGTTTGGAGACCAATGTTTTTTTTGCTTTCAGAAATGAATAGGTTCTTGTTTGTTGTGAGGAAATAAGGTGACCTTCTCCTTCCAAATACGGAAGACCTTCACTTGCAACAGTAGGGCTAAGCAGAGTAGTGTCCAGGTAGGGTTCATGCATGTGTGTAGAGAGAGTTAAGGAGTCTATGTGATAACATCTGAATATGTGATTGAGAGAATGCTTTACTCAGTGTATGTATATGCCTGTGTTTAAATGTGTGAGCATGTTAGAATGGGCATCCGAATAGATTGGTGAAGATGTGTGCGCTTGTGTGTGTGTGTGTGTGTGTGTGTGTGTTGGTTGTGTAGTTCTGGGCATCTCTGTCTTGATGACTCTGATTAGATCCTCAGGTCAAATATAGGTGCTCTTCAGTTAACAGATTGCTTCACATAATCTTCTACATTCCCACTTTTTCCGTGTTTTTACCTTTCTGTATGCTAAAAATCAATAACCAGTATAATTAGAAGTGATTGTGCCCACCGGCTTTATTGGAACTGGGCATGTGGGATTATCCTCCTATGCTTGGTGTGAAACTCATTCTGTCTGTGCAGTGGCAAATATGCTGATGGGAATTGCCTCTTTGCCTTAGTATCACTTTATTAAGCCTCCAGGACTTACTGGCTGCCGGCATTATCTGGATTTTGCATGTGACCAAAAGCAAAGCCAAGCTTCCTGTTGAACAAAATGCCTGATGAGATAGTCCAGGAAGGACAAAAAGGAAGAGTAATGCCAGTCCTAAGGGCAGACTCACCGCCATCCATCCCCAATAGAGTAGACTAGACCTGAAGATGAAGCCGACATAATAGGTTGCCAATGATCTCACCTGCCTTGAAGATTTAAGGCTGGAATTTCCTCAGGGGAGGCTAAGACTAGGGACATGAGACTTAAGAGAAGTTGGTCTGGTAAGAAAGAGTGTGAGTAAAACAATGGGAGATGAAGTTGATGAGAGCCTTGTAAAGCCCTTGTAAAAGGCTCTACAGAATCTTTCTTCCCAAACCTTAATTTAAATTTTTAGCTCCCTGCCTGAATTCCAGCAAAGGGGATGAGCATGCCTTCTCCCAAGCACCTCTTTGGACTTACAAAGCCTGGCTTGGAGTCTTAGCTCTGCCATTAGCTTGCTATGTAACAATCTTAGAGTATCTGGTTCCTCATATGTAAAGTTTGGAAGTTGGGGCAGATAATATTTAAGACTGAATAGTAAGGAAGTATTTACAGAATATTGCTAAACTTGGCAGTGTCCACGCCTCTCCTCACCCCACTCCCCACCCCACCCCAACATAGAACCTTTGGGAGAAGTGTGCACATCACACCCATCCTTGGTAATTCTCAGCTTCTTCATAACTGGAACATTGTTTCACAAAACTTAAAAGCTGCAGAAGGAAAGAGGGATGGTTTGGGAAACTTGGCCATCAAATGTAAGAGAAAGGGCCTCGTTTCACAAATGCAATTTCATTTTATTTGAATGTAATTCTAGTATTGGAAACCATTCCTCCCCAAGCTGATTTTTCACATGATGCAAATAGGAATGGAAAGTATCTTTTCCATTATATTATTGTCTGCATCTCTTGAAAAAACTTCCCTTATTTCCTTTAATAAAGTATATAATGATAATTAAAAGAAAACTCTATACTTGCCTGGTGCTTTATAGTTTACAAAGCATTTTTCAATCCATTACCTCTTTTTGGTCACCGTATCGATCCTTGGGGGTAATCAGGGGAAAATAGTATTATTTCCAATTTAGAGGTGAGAGAATGAGCTCAGGGAGAGGGAAGGACTTGCTGGAGAACTCTTTTCTCCTGATTTCAGTCTCCTACTACTTGTTCTAGCACTTCTTATGGACACGTCCTGCTCTGCAGGATTGCAAGATAGGTATCGTCCTGTCATCCCTTTTCTGAGCCATCACCTTTTCTCCCCTCTGCCAAACCATTGCCTTTCCTAAGGGCCTCCTGAGCCTCTAGGCCCAGGTCTATTCTCCCAGATGTCTGCTGTGTTGGGTGGGGAATATTTTCCTCTCTTCCCCCAGCAGCCCATCTTGCTGGATCCCATTCTTTCAAGGCTCTGCTAAGTGACTGGCTAATTTGATAGACAAATCACTTCAAGGTATTAATATCTACAGATAACTTCATCTATTACCCTCCTTCAGAAAGTATTTACATTCTAATCAAAGCCTTTATTATCTTAGCACAAGGAAAAGAATTCTAGAGCAAGGTCAGGAATGCCCAAAGAAGAAAAAGATTAGAGGAGTTGGTTCAATACACATTACTCTCTACCTTATAATAGATTGATATTATTCCTTAATTAAATATAATCATTAGTAATAACATCATATTCTACCTTCTTAGAAGTTTCTTCATTTTTTAAAAATTTTATTTATGTGTTTGAGAGAGAGAGCACAAGCAGGGGGAGCAGCAGAGGGAGAGGGAGAAGCAGGCTCCCTGCTGAGCAGAAAGCCTGATATGGGGCTCGATCCCAGCACCCTGAGATTATGAACTGAGCCAAAGTCAGATGCTTAATGAACTGAGCCACCCAGGTGCCCCAAGTTTCTTCATTATTACTATGGAAATGAAGAAGAGACCAAAAGTGAAGTGATCTGGCCAAGACTATTCTAGTTTATTCTTTACAGTCAGCAATGTGGACTGAATACCTACCATGTGTACAACCATTCTTGGACAGCTAGAGGATTTCAGAGAGGGGCAGTCTCCATGGGCTGGAGAAACAGATTTCACCTCTTGATGGATGGAGCAGCAAGTCATATTGCAAAGGGCAAGCAAAGAGGGATGAGAGAATTTTGTGGCCATTTTGCAATGTACTATCCAGGACCTCATGAGCAGAATTCTATGAGAAGGGAATTAGTAGCATTCATTCTCTGGTGCAGTTTTCCTGACTGCATATATTTTGTCCTCCCTCCTTTAAGTGTAAACGAACTAACTGTACCCCTATTTAAGACCAGTTCATCTACATCACCTGTGACCTGTGGAAGGATGTGTGGTCTGGCAAATTATTCCTTTTCAAACCCCAGCAGCTCTACTACACCTTCATCCAAGCAAAACCACTGAGCCATCTCTCAGTCTCATCAGTGTGCCAGCCTCTTAACTACTCTCTTTGCTTCCGCACTTGCTTTTCCTCACCTCTTCCGTTTATTCGCAACAACATAGCAGTCAGGTCATGTAATTTTGTATAAATCATATCTTTCTTCCACTCAGAGTACTCCAGTGTTCTCCAAGTCACTCGGAGCAAAAGTCAAGGGTAAGGTTCTAACGGTGGTCTGCAAGACCAGCCATGATCTGGCCCTGGTTTTTGTCTCCTTCTCACTCTGTTCCCTGTGCTTTATTGTGCTTTTTGCTTTGGACAGACACTCCCCCCTCCCCAGGACCCCTGAAATGCTATTTCCTCTATTTGGCATACTTCCACACTGATATTTGTATAACTCATTTCTTTCCCTCATTTTTTTCCTTCCGTGCCTGCTCATTGTCACCCTCTCAATGAGGCTGTCTCCAATGTGTCTGTGCTCCTCTACTCTGTTTTACTTCTTCTCATAGCACTTATTATAATGTAATGTATCTTGTTTTTCTCACCCTCCCCTGGAATGTAGACTCTATGAGAGCAGGGATGGTTTCTGTTTTGTTCCCTGTTGTATTGTCAGTGCCTAGAACAGTGTCTGGCACACAGTAAGCACACAGCATATTTGTTGAGTAGGTGAACAAAGAGATGAAGGGTAAAATATCTTAACAAGGGATAGTGTACAAAGCACATTCATATAAATAATTCCATAGAATTTCCATGATGGCTCCGTTAGAGAGATGTTATTTCCAACATTCTGTTGATGAATGAACCGAGTCTTTGGGGTTAAAGAGTAGATAAAACCAGGCCTTCCATTGCCAAATACATCTTCATCCTGCCTCTGAATTTGTAACCGTGCATTCCTTGGTATATTTTCAACCATGCTGCTTTGAAGTCATCATCATTGAACTAACTTATTTTCACCATGTCTCATTAAATATGAATGTGCCCCAAGGCTCCCTTCTACACAGAGTTCTCAAGGCACATGCTCTGCATCTCTGTTCATTCCCAAGCTTTTGCAAAGACCACACCTTCTTCTCTTCAAACACATCACATTCTGAAAGTGTTTCTGGTCAGTTCTCTCCAGATAGGGACCCTTTCCCCAAAAAGGGATGGTCCATATGCAGAAGCAGGAGACCCTCTTTTTTTTTTTTTAAGCAGGAGACCCTCTGGCAGATTGCCCAATAAGACGAGCCCCAACTTGTTTGAGAGTTTTAAAACCAATTAACTTTATTTTACATTGATATTTTAAACTTCATCATAGTGCCACTTTGTTTGTTTGTTTGTTTGTTTGTTTGTTTGTTTGTTTTTAAAGAAAGGCAGACTGTCCAGTGCCTCATTTGGAGGTGTCTGGAGTCTTGGGAGATAGACTCCCCTATGTTCTTTTCCAAATGGACCTTGAGAGCTTGTTTGGAGGTTCACAGCCACTCATATACCCTTGAGCAGAGAATAGTCCTCCTCTGTAAGGTCGTCCCCTCTCACTGAAGTGCACAGCTTTGGGAGGGATGCACGTGGAGCGGTGAGGGAGGAAGGGGACCTGCCTAAGCAGACAGATGAGCCAGATCAACCCTGGCTTTCAGTGGGGTGACAGATCCTAGGGCTACTTGCTTTTTAAATTCTGTGTTTAATAGTGACATTTTTTGCCTTTGAAGCCAGTCGAATGTAATTTATTTTTTGACTCAATTAGTTGGTCAATCTCATTTTAAGCTCTAAATAAAGCTTTCCTCTGTTTTTAGAATGAACAGCCTGCCAATACAGAGACAAACTAACCATTTATAGTGTACTAGCCTCTAAATAGCAATGTGTATCGTTTCATTTTTTAAGGGGTTCTGTTTTTGTTATTAATTCATCAGATGGGGCCTTATAAGTCCTGACATAAGAATCCTTTGTGGTCATCCCACTTTTTAATCTTCTATACAATGAAGTGTAAACTCTTACCAAGTAGGTTTGGTTTTTTTGTTTTTTTGTTTTTGTTTTTTTTTTTTGCATTTGTAAACAGCTTCAGCACCAGAAAATTATTTTTTCTTAATAAGTTAAACTTACTTTCTTGTAACTTTTGGAACTGGACAGAAGTTCCTTTCTCTTCTATAGGCCAGCCTTCAACTATTGGAAAACAGATAAGTTCTGTGTCCAAGCCAGGCACCCCTCATCCTCCTGTCTGTTTCTCCCCAGATTTTGTCCCCAGACCCTGCTCCATATTGCTCCCCTCTGGGCATGCACTCATTGAACAACTTCCTTTTGCAAACTGTGACACCCTGAACGGATCATAATGGTCCAGATTTGTTCTGAACAGTACGAAGGCCCTGTTGCTCCCTCGTTCTGCACATTGTACATCTGTTAATGCAGCCCACATTTGCACTTGCTTTGCTGGCAGCCACATCCCACTTTTGACTCATTCTGAAAGTACAGTCTGATGTACTCACCCTTTTTTAATGGGTTATGAGTTTCTAGAGAACAGGGACTGGAGGTCCACACCTCCATGTGGCATACAAGGTGTCCCCCTGATTCTGACCTCTCTCCAGATTTTTAACTTTGTTTCTCTCCACTCCTCTGCGAAAAGCATACTCTGGCCGAGGGTCTGTTCCCTTGTCTTCCTCACTGCTGCTCCATCCCCCACCAGGCATCAGAATTACCTACGTTTTTTTTTCATAAAGTTCAGATATAATTACATCTCTCCATGGCTTGCAGACATCTGACCCCTCATGTTGTGAAGACCATACAAAGGTCTTCACAGTGTGGTCCTAGCTCCCCTTCTACACCCCAGCCTCATCTTCTTCTTCTTCCTCTCTCCCCAGTCCAACCAGGAATAATTGGCGCTCCTCTGGGAACAGAGCCCATCGCCAGCACAGCACTCATCATGGCCCCATTTCATGATATTTCAGAGTATGCGTTCCCTGCTAGATTCTAGATGCCTTTAGGGTGTGGTTAGCGTTCCGTTCATCGTTGCATCTCGGCCTAGCATCAGGCCTGGCCTGGGGTAGATTTCAGTGAATGGTGGTTGAATGCAGGGGTGCATGGTGGTCAGTGGATGGGTGTGTGTGTGTGCCCTGTTTCCCACCTAGACTCTAAGTCTTTGAGGGCAGGAGTCAGGGCTGTGCCACACCCTAACTGCATCCTGGGAGGCTTGCAGTGACCTCCAGGTCATTCATGGCTCCTCTAGCCCATTCCCCGCCCGCTCCGAGCGTGCACCCTTGGGGAGCACAGGTGTCGATGTACGGACACATACATGCGATTTTCAAGTTTGTCTCATGACTCTTTCTTCTCTGTCTCTCCTCCCTCCCTCTTGTTCTCCAACGCCACTCCGGTGCCGGCTTCCCCCACACCTCCTGTTCCTTCCCTGTCACTGGCCTCTCTGCAGTCAGCGTCTGCTTCCCTGTGTGTGTGGAAGTGCCCTCGGAGACGGAGGCCGTTCAGGGCAACCCCATGAAGCTGCGCTGCATCTCCTGCATGAAGAGGGAGGAGGTGGAGGCCACCACGGTGGTGGAGTGGTTCTACAGGCCCGAGGGCGGTAAAGATTTCCTTGTATGTCTGGCTGCGGATGCTGGCCTTTCTTTTGCTTGCCTCTGCTATTACAGGCCTGGATCCTGAGAGTCTGGGAATGCGAAGATCTGACAGACCCTGGCTCTTTCTTTTCAAAGCACTGACAGCTCCCCTGCAGATACCTGACAGCCCAGCCTCTGTGAAAGGAAGGGTGCCGGCCAGCTGCAAGCATTCCTGCTTACAAGCAGGGGAAGGGGGAGAAGAGAGAAATAGCGTTTAGCGCCTACTGTTCGCTAGTCACCGGATAAGGCACCTCGTAGGTGTTTTTAATTTTCTGCACTGTCCTAGGGGATGGATTAAATTAGCAGGAGCACTGAAACGACACTCAGCGTCATTATATGGAATAGCGTAGGCTAGCTCATTGAAATCTCACAGTCCCAGTGAAATAAGACTTGCAGGGATGACCAAGCTGCTTTTCTTCTCCTCCTCCTCTCTCTCCTCCCCCTCCTCCTCCTTCTTTTTATTTAAATTCAATTATCCAACTTAGAGTACATCATCTGTTTCAGATGTAGCATTCAATAATTTATCAGTTGGGTACAACACCCAGTGCTCCTCACACCACGTGCCCTCCTTAATGCCCACCACCCAGTGACCCCATCCCCCACCCACCTGCCCCAAGCCGCTTTTCAGCTGGTATACCCAGTACAGCCGCATCCGTGAGTAAAATATTTAAATAGTTCTGTGGTGGGTATTTAGCTATGCCTAGCTTCCCAAGTGGCCTCACCACCACGGGTCCCACTAGGAACCTCCGGATGTCCCCATGTTCTAGAGACTGAGGGATCACCCTGACAGAGCAGGGAGCCTCCAAGCCCCGCCCCATGCTGTGGCTAATGTCAGTTCTGATTGGTTGGCGCCACTGCCAATATGGTTGTTATACGCTTTGAATACCCACTTGGGGATGCCCATTACTCACACTTTCACTGACCGCGGGACCTCGCTGCCTGTCTCGGTTTGAGTCTCGATTCCACAACTTCTGGGTTATGTGCCCTGGTACAATTTGCTTCGCCCCTCTGTGCCTCAGCATCCTCATCTCTAAAATGGGGGTGCGAACCACAGCTACCTCAGAGAATTGTTACCTTCCGAGTTGTTAGCTTTAACTTTTAAGGCTATTTAGAATAGCCCTGGGATATAGGAAGCACGATATAAGTGTTTGCTAGAGAAGAGGTATACGTCCATAAGTGAGGCGCCTGGGGCCTGGAGAAGTTAAGTTAATAAGAGAGCTTAGATTCGAACCAGGGACACAAGGCACTTCTTACTGCCCTATCCCACCTTCCTGCAGACAAGTTTCTTTTCTACAAAGACTTCATGGCGACAATAATAGGGGGAAGTTGAATGTTTGCTTCAATTGGGAGCCAACAACGGAACCAGTAGATGTCCCCCAAATCTTGGTTTTTCACCCAGAGTTGACTGTGACTGACACTAGTCCCCAGGTTACAGGAACCTGGATGTCTGGCTGGATGCGAAGGCTCCCACTGACCTCAGGCCTGGTTCTATGCCAACCCCCAGCTCGGCCTCCAGGCTGCCCAAAATGAGTAGAAGTTGACTCAGAAGGAAGAAAAGAAACTTTAAAAAGTTGTAGTGGACATACAGAGCAACACTGTCTCCTAGAAATGTTTGCGACAATGGGAATGCTCTATCTGTGCTGTCCAGTACAGTAGCCACTGGCTACAGGTGGTCACTGAGCACTTGAAATGTGTCTAGCGCAGTGGAGGGATTGAATTTTACATTTTATTTCATTTCTAGTTATTTAATTTTTATTGTAGAGAGCCACGCGTGCCAAGTGGAGACTAGAATGGACAGCACGCCTGTAGAGAATAAAGAGCTGGAGAGAGTGAGGAGGAGGGGGTGTCTGAGAAAACCAGTTTTGAGACCACATTTCACTTATAATTCAGCCTAAAATGAAAGACCTGAGGTGTGCATATCAGTTGGCAGCTCTGTTTATCTGTGACACCTTTTGCGTCCTCGGTCCCCTTCCTGTGACCTGATCCAGGCCGACCACATCCTCTCAGTGAGAACCAGATCAGAGAGGCAAGTTTTGAGGCCAAGACTTTCAGATGTCTTCGTGACACAGGAAGCCACCTTTCTAGGTCTCTCTGCTCTGTTTTCTCACCGGCTGCCCCCGTGACACATCTCACTCTCTCTTGCTCTCTGTCTCCTTCCAGTTCTTTCTTTCTCCCAACTTCCCCCCTCCTGGTCTCCTGTATGCTTCACTCACCTTTTAAAAATTTTTAAAAAAAATATTTTATTTAGGGGCGCCTGGGTGGCTCAGTGGGTTAAAACCTCTTGCCTTCGGCTCCGGTCATGATCCCAGGGTCCTGGGATCGAGCCCCACATCGGGCTCTCTGCTCCGCGGGGAGCCTGCTTCCTCCTCTCTCTCTCTCTGCCTGCCTCTCTGCCTACTTGTGATCTCTGTCTGTCAAGTAAATAAATAAAATCTTTAAAAAAATATTTTATTTATATGAGAGAGAGAGAGAGAGTATGAACAGGGGGAGTGGAAGGGGCAGGGAGCCCAACGCGGGGCTTGATCCCGGAACCCTGGGATCATGATCTGAGCCAAAGGCAGACACCTAACTGACTGAGCCACCCAGGAATCCCCATCACTCACCTTCTTTCATGTTCTTCCTTTGCATCTTTTTTCCTGCCAGCCTTCTTCCTGCCTCCTCCTTTCTGCCTCTTGCTTTTCTTTGTCCAGATGCCTTGATACCTGTTTACCTTTGCTCATCTTTCCCTGCCTTTCTCTCTTCCCTGCCCTTCTCTGAGCCTCATCCCACTCCTATTCTTGGGATCTCCTTGTAACCATGTCCCCTTTCTTCCCTGTCCCTGCACCATTCTCCTTTGCCCTGCCCTGTCCCCATCCCAGCTCTCCGACCCGATTTTCTCTCCCGACCCTGCTCTCTTTTGCTTCTCTACCTGCAGATCTACGAGTATCGGAATGGCCAGCAGGAGGTGGAGAGTCCCTTCCAGGGACGTCTGCAATGGAATGGGAGCAAAGACTTACAGGACGTGTCCATCACTGTGCTTAACGTCACTCTGAATGACTCCGGCCTCTACACCTGCAACGTGTCCCGGGAGTTTGCTTTTGAGGCGCATCGGCCCTTTGTGAAAACTACACGGCTGATCCCCCTCCGAGTCACCGAGGAGGGTGAGGCTGGGGCGCAGGGTCTCCAGGGTGCCCTGCTCTTGGGGGAGGGAGGACAGTGGGCTTCCACCCAAATGACACCCTTGCAGAGTGCAAAACCCATATATCGAGAGTGGCGATACCTAAAACTGTCAGCATTGACTTGTCTTCCTGTAGCGGCCAGTTTCCTGCAAACTGCCTGATAGCTTGCCTCTCTGTGCCTTTCTTCAGAGCAGAAAGGCTCAGGGATGACAGGAGAATGACCTCTTCCTTCATCCCCTAACTCTCATCCTTAGAGAAGGAGGACAGCCTCCATAAAGCCCAAAGCTGCCAAATCAGCTGCACCTGCTTCTCTGGCTTGTGTTGAATCCCTGACTCGCTGGGCACAGGGAATGCTCATGAGGTCATCTAGAGGTCCTCAAACCCTCCTGTATGTAAGCCATACACATCCCTGAACCAGCGGTGCTCAAACTTCAGCAAGCCTCAAAATCCCTTGCAGGACTTTTAAAAATGCAGACTTTCTGATTCTGTAGATAGAGCTTGGGAATTTGCACGCCTAACAAATTGCCAGGAGATGCCCCAGCTGCCGGGGACGGCACTTTGAGAACCACTCCTCTAACCAAAGTTGGACAGCCTTTTGTCTTCTGTTCCCCTCCCCGCAATTAATCACCCAAGCAATCTCCTCCTTCCCCATCCCCAGCATCTCTTATTACATAACCTCATTCTCAACTGGGAGAACAAACTTTCTAGTCTTTAGTTTAAAATCTTCAGATTTCCCACAGCTAGTTTCTTGTTGGGGTGGGAGGTGTGGGGAAGCCCTTTCATCAACCCAACTCAAAAGTTTCTCTTTTAATCCAGTCCAGAATCCAGGGCGAAGTTTGAGTGTTCTCATGCACAGTCCTTGTGCTTCCTTCCTTCATTTTTTTTTTTTAAGATTTTATTTATTTCTTTGGCAGAAATCACAAGTAGGCAGAGAGGCAGGCAGAGAGAGAGAGAGAGAGAGGGAGGAAGCAGATTCCCTGCTAAGCAGAGAGCCCGACGTGGGCTCATCCAGGTTCAATGATGGTTCCATTTCTCTTAGCCTGTTCTCAGGCAGTCTGTTTCCAGCATCTTCTTAGCTTTATCGCTGCCTCAAGATGCCGGGTGGTGAGAAGGCAAAAGGTGTTGGACATGAAAGAAGAGGTCAAAGTCAAGATAGGGCATTCCTAGGATTTCCAAGGATCTCAACTTCCAAACCACAAGTGTATGTTTTTCTCATGTTATTGTGATAGAATTCATAATGCAAACTTGAGAGCGAATGGCAGGTCAAGAGGGGTCATGATTTTGTCCTGATGTGGGCACTATGACTCAAACGGAAGATAGGTCAGTTCTGAACGTGCAGAAGCACTCTCAGACCACTGGCGTTTAGACCTGATGAGCCATTTTCCCCCTCTGGGCCAGTCTCCTCTTGTGCACAATGAGTGTGTTGGCCTGGAAGCTCTCTAAGGTATTTTTCTGTTCAGAAGTTCCATTAGCCTCTCTGTTTACACACCTCCTCTCCCCGGGGAGCAGGGGCTTGCGCCCTCTGCTGCTCACCATGGGGAACTGCTGGCTGCTGACAGCCGGGCACTAGGAAGGTGCCTGTCTGCACCCACTGCGCTCCCAGGCTTTTGCCTCCAGAGACCCTCACGCAGCCAGTGGAAGGTGTGCCAAAGCTGAACCAGTCTGCCTGCTGGGCGCCAGAGCCAGGCTTGGGTAAGAATAGAAGGAAAACAAGTTTGTTGTTGGAACCACAGATCCTCTTGGGATGCTAGGACTGGAAGGACGTTTGGCTCTCATTTCATGCAGGGGTTCTGAGCAAAGAGCAGGTGTTGGAATTGCCCAGGGGGCTTGTCTTCCGTGTGGACATCTCAGTACCGCTCTTGTGGGTATGAGTTCGGAGGGTCAGAGTGAGGTCTGGCGTGTGTCAGTAGAAATGACTCCCTTGGTGATTGCCTGGAGGATGCAGCCCTGGTGTCCCTCATTTTGTGGTGGGGAGATCAGTGAGGGGGCTTGCCTAGAGATGTGAAGCAAATTAGCACCAGACGCAGGACTCCAAGCCAGATCTTTTGCCCACCAGGCTAGCTCTATGTCCATGACATCTTCTCCTTCTACCACCGTCACACTCTCTGCTACTCTTTCTTCTCCTTTTCGTAACTTTTTCCCTCTTCCCATCCCCCACCCCTTCCCTTCCCCTCCCTTCTTTTTCCCTTCCCCTTCTCTTCCCTCTTCCTTTCCCTGTCCCTTCTCTTCTCCTTCCCCTTCCTCTCCCACTCCCCTTTCCCCATCCTTTCCCTTCCCTTCCCTCCTCTTCCTCTCTTTCTCTTCCTCAGTGAGACCCTGGCAGCCTCCGAGAATACCTCCCTGCCAGATACTACTGGTCTCATAAGGCTCAGAGTCACATGCCCCACCATGACATGCCCCACTGTATGTCCTCCATTCCTATAGTCTCCCAGAATCTCTCTGGTTTTCTTTGTTCAAGCTGAAATTATCCTACCCTAAGCTCTGGCCTCCTGGCTCTAAGACAAAAATCTGAAGTCTTTTTGCCTAGAAGTAAGTAAAAATAGTGAGCCTAGTTAGCTTCTTGTGTTACTACTTCTGGGCTATTGCATTAATACAATGCGTGCTTTAAGATGAATATGTCCTAAATCAGGTAGTGTCAAGGCCACAAAAAGACATTTGATGTGTATGGTGTTCTGGGCTTCAGGCTGCATCTCTGACCTCCAGCTCCAGGAGGTCCGGCATCCAGGAAACCTGGATGATCGTGGAGCCTTTAGACTGCTTCTCTGAGCTGAGGGTCTTGGCAATGGCTATTCTGTGCTTTCAGTGAGCTAATGAGCGAGGACTTATGGATGACTGGGGCTGTGAATAACCAGGGACCATGAATCTAATGTATGGGTAGGAGCTAGCAACGGGAGATGTGGCTAAAACCTTCCTTCCCACTAGAAAGAAGGATCTGTCAGGACACTCGCCATGGAGCTTGTTTTAATTGTCATTTTGGTTGGCCGTGAAACAAAGATCAATATTTATTTATATTCATTCATTCAACAAATACTTACGGAGTACTTCAACTATTCTGGCATTAGACAACAGGCTGATAATTCAGAAATAAGTAAAATATGTTCTTAATAAGCCCACCATCAGTAGGGAAGACAGAGAAACCCATGGCAGTACAACCTGGGGAGTGTCACGATGGATGAGGAGGACAAGTGCGCAGAGGAGGACACCCTCTGCATGAGAGGCTGAGGAAAGCTTCTCAGCCCGGGCCTTTGGTGGCATCTGGGAGAATGGTCAGGGGACTGAAAAGCAGGAGGGGATGTTGAGACAGAGGTAGCAGAGTGAGGGGCAGTCCCATCGAGGAAGAGGAAAGGGTTTGGATAGATGTCCGCGGATCCCAAAAGACCACAGTGTATATGGGAGCGGAAGTTTTGCCCGTGCGTCGGATGGCGATGAGGAGAGCAGGGCCGGGCGATGAATGGTCTCACGTGCCACGTTCAGAGTTCAGTCTTTCTCCCGAGGGCGGCGGGGAGCACAAAGGGTTCTAAGCATAACAAAGGCAGGATCAGATTTGTGTTTCAGAAAGCCCGGTTAGTACATGCAATGCTCCAATTCTCATTTCTGTTTGGGTTTGGGATGACGTGGAAGGAAGACAGTGGGAAGGACCCTGTTTCCAGTCTGGTCTTGTAGAGAACATGCCCAGCTCACAGGGCTGGCTGACAGCTCTGGCCCCCGCTCTCTCCCTCTGCCACTCTAATGTCAGAGGACAAGGTGGCTGAACTAGACACATTTCCCACCTCTGTGTAGACCATCACATCTCACCAGACAGACGTTCTGGAACACAGTAGATAGTGTCACAGTGGGAACGGCTACCCTGGCCTTACCTTTTAGGGAGATGAGTCTCCAATAAGGGAAATGACTCTTCACATAAAACCCAGTTCTTATCTCTCACTCGGTTCCCAGATTCTTTCCTTGGCTCTGTGATTTCTTCCACTCCCCATTCCTCTGCATCCCCCACTCCAGAAGGAAGTCGGTGAGCGAGCGAGCAGAGAGGAGCGTCGGACGGTATTAAATCTCTCCGACATCTTCTCGAGTTCCTTAGCCCCAGGGCTTATTTAAGTGACACTTAAAAATAGGTCTCATATATCTTGGAGCCAGTGACAGCTCTGGCTTTGCTGGGCGTGCATATTCTGAACCCTTTGTCCCCCTTGCAGCTGGAGAAGACTTCACCTCTGTGGTCTCGGAGATCATGATGTACATCCTCCTAGTCTTCCTCACCTTGTGGCTGCTCATCGAGATGATATATTGCTACAGGAAGGTCTCAAAGGCCGAAGAGGCAGCCCAAGAAAACGCGTAAGTTCAAAGATGCCAAAAATAAGGCTAACGGGCACCTTCAGAGCGCTTGCCCTCACAGTCGAGGTGCTAAGCAATTGACATGGTCCTCCGCTCTCCTCCCTATGATCTTCAAGGTAGGCAGCATCGATACACCCATTTAAGAGCTGAGAAAACTGAGCCTGGGAGAGTTTGCCCAAGATCATTATAAGAGGCAAAGCAAAGTTTTGATTCGTGCCTGCTAACTCTTGACAGGGACACTTAACCTTTGATGTAAAATAAGACCCATAAGCTACCATCTCAGTCCTACGAAATTCGCGTTATTATGATCATCTTACAGAGGCTGAAGCGGGCTCATAGAGGTTAAGTGGCTTGCGGAGGCCACACAGATAATGAGAGGCGAGGCTGGGATTTAGGCTTCTTGATTCCAAACATTTGTGCTCTTTCTGTCACACTCAGCCATTTGCCACCTTTTCTTGGCTAAGGAGCTTGGGGCCACACGATCTTTGCCCTGGAGCTAAGCAGCAATTGAATACCCAGGGTAGGGCCTCTCATTCTCCAAGGTCCAGACCGTACCGTGGCCATGTTCATCAAGGCCCTAGTCACTCGGGAGTGAGCACATCTGAGAAATGATGGGGTCTGAGGGTCTAAGAGGCCGCTCTGGCCTGTTAATTTGGGGAGAGGAAAGCACAGAACGGTCATAGATTTACAACGCTAGCCACAATGCAGAGGTGATATCCTAAAAACTGGAGGCAGATAAGATCACCTAAAAATGTTTGGTAAAGAAAGTATATTAGATGATGCTATGATCTCAGGAAAGTAAAAATTACAACTGATATAAGGATAGAAAGTAATGATATGCTGGGGAAGATTGTCATTCCTGGTGAAACCTAGGTTCTCAGGTTTTAATGCTTGGACAGAAAGGGCCTACAACTGGGCCTGCACACAAAACAGTTGGAACCGAGGCCTCCAGCAGAGCCAGGATCCTCCAAAGGCTACAACACATGTCAAGGACAGATGAGAAAATCAGTCTGCCAGCCTGGGGAAAAACCCAAGGAAACTTACCTGTCTTGGCCTGACTCCCAAAGAGAAACAGAAAAGATTCTTGAGAATTAGTAACCACAAGCCTGCAGTCACCACGTTTGGGATTTAAATTTATACTACCTGCATGATCCAGGAACCTCTAAGCTGAGAAATTCAATTAAAAAATTAGTCCCCAGACAGTGATAACCATATAGGAGCAAATGGAAAACCATTCTGAAGGGACCCTCTCTCAGCTGAGGCTTACCAGGATTCCCCGCGTAAAGCACGGCTGGATCTGATTTCACAGTCTGATCCAAAGCTAAAAGCCAGCACAGGCAAGACAAAGAACAAATGGCAGGATTAAATCCCAGGAACTTCAGACGCAGGACCTGGTAGAATTTTGAAAATAAGTTCATTTGAGAGAGTTAAAGCAATAAAATAAAAGCATAAGAATAGAGTCAGTTGCTAAGAAAAACAAACAGGCAGATTTCATTTTAATTTTTAAAGACTTTATTTATTTATTTGACAGAGAGACATCACTAGTAGGCAGAGAGGCAGGCAGAGAGAGAGGAGGAAGCAGGCTCCCTGCTGAGCAGAGAGCCCGATGCGGGGCTCGATCCCAGGACCCCGAGATCATGACGTGAGCCGAAGGGAGATGCTTAACCGACTGAGCCACCCACGCACCCCACACACAGGCAGATTTTAAGTAATTTAAGAAATCTGGAAATGAAAAGTAGAATCAATAAAATTTTAAAATGTGATGGAGGGGTTCACCAGAAGATTAGATACGGACGGGCAGGGCATCAACATAATTAAGCAGTACGGAGCGAAGCCCAGAGATCTAAAAAGATGGGCTATCACAATGAAACATGAAGGAAGAAAATGAGAATACCCATTAGAACAGAACAGGCAAAACGGAGGAGAAATGATATTCAGGGATACAGTGGCTGAGGAAAGATTCCTCAGATCCAGGAAGCACGTGTCCTGCGCTGCATAAATACTAAACCGAAACACCAGTCATCCCTAAACCAAAGAAGGGCGGCTACTCAGGTTACCTCCAGCAAATACCAGCAGGGTTAGAACTGCCTATGATATGAGAAACATGTCTGCTGGCTTCTGTTCAATATTAACTTGCAGATCCTAGGGAGTGTACTAAGTAAATACAGAGGGAAAAAAAGAGTAAAAATTGTGAAGGAAGACACCAAAGTATCATGATTCATACCCAATATAATTATCTATTGTTGGCTGGCAACCCCCTCTGGAGCTTCCCCGGTGTGATGGGAGGGCAGGGAGAGATGGAAGGAAGAGGCAGGCCTATCCAGATGGAATTAAACCAGGGAAATTACTTACACGACTTTTCCTGGGCAGCCACAGGAAAAGCCTGCCCGAATCTTAAAGGCTTTTGTAGACAGAGGCCTTAACTGGGTTCAGACGGGTATATACTGTCCAGATAGTCTCAACACCACATCACTGTCTTCAGACAGTGTCCCTGGGACAGTTTCTGGGAGTGGGGAAGGTAGGCAGAATGCACACTCCAAGAAAAGACGGCGGGGGGTGAGGGGGTTGGGGGGTGGGCAGCTTGAGTGCTGGAGTCCAGCTCCCGGGTCACCCAACAGCCACGTCCTGCCCGTAACTTCCCCCACCACCTACATAGAAAATCCAAGGGAAGCCTTGGACAAACCATTAGAGCCCGTGAGCACATTCCACAGGAGGGTAGATACAAATCAAAACACAAAAGTATAAAAACCACCTGTAGTCCAACCACAGACATTTAGAAAAACATTGAAATAGAACATTTGAAAAAAAAAATTCCATCACAGTGGCAACACACTGTCCGGCACCTGGGAATACATTTGATGAAAATGTGCGAGAACTTTCAGAAAATTGCAAAACTTTACTGGAAGACTTAAGACCTAAGTAAATGGGAGAATCAGACCTCACTGATGCAAACATGGCAATTCTCTCTGAACTTAATCTGTAAATTCAATGACATTTCCACCAAAACCCCTGTTGGATTGTTCAAGGAACTCAGTTAGTGGATCTTAAAAGTCATATGGAAGACCGAAGGGCCAAAACTAGTCCAAACCAAGCGATGCCCAGATTGTGACTCTTTTCTCCACCCGATCTCTGTTGTGTATTATTCTTTGGTTTTGCTTCTTGGTGGGCAACCCTTCTGATCATTCTTAGCTCATGAGCCATCGTTTGCCTATTTCAAAGAAAGAGCACTATTTAGTGAAGGTGGCTGGTAGGACTTTCCCTATCTGACATGAAGATTTCTTATAGAGCTATTAGAGAGAAGAGTTTATCCGTACTGACCTAGGCATGCAGCATGAAGAGAGCAAAGCCGAGAGCCCCCCTCCAAATGGGTCACGATAAAAAGATTCCCCCTCTCTCACACTAAACAGAAGTAAATTGTGAGTGGATTTAAAGACAAGGTAAAATGTACAACTTAAAAAGCCTATCACGGGAAAATAGAAGACACTATCTTCATTACCTTAGGAAAGAAGATTTCTTAAAATGCAAAAGGCACGGAGAGGAAAGAAGGGTAATTTTCATGACACTATCTATGAAAATCAGTTTAGAGACAACAGACCCAGAGAAGATATTTTCAAGACACAAAGCCAGCAAAGAAAAATCCAGGGGTGGGTGAGGGCTCAGTCAGTTAAGCAGCTGACTCTATTTTGGCTCCGGTCATGATCTCAGGGTCCTGGGATTGAGTTCCATGCTCAGTGGGGAGATTGCTTCAGGATTGATTCTCCTCTCTCCTGCTGCCCCTCCCCCTAAAAGAAAGAAACAAAACCAAGAGAAAAGAAAAGAAAAGAGAAAGGGAAAGGGAAAAGAAAAGGGAAAGAAAAGGAAAAATCCATGAGAAAAAGACAGGAAAACTGGGAAAGCACATGAATGAATTACAGAAGCAGAAACCCGAATCACTTAAAAACCTACAGCATTAGCAGTAATCAGGGAAATGGACATTAAAGCAACTATAAAATATAATTTCACACCCCACAGTGTGGTCAACATTTTAGCCTGAGACCCATGTGGATCAATGAGAAGATTCATGCATTGCTAGGGGAAGGGAAAAAAAATAGACAATGTCTAGTATTCTAGTCCCCGCTGAATGGGGCATTCTAGTTTTCTCTGGGAAACAGAGGCAGAAGGAAATGCGGAGCTGTTCTGCAGACATCGTTGTTCCTGTGCCCCCGCTCCTTCCCCTTTCTTGGGTTCCCACCCCTGGGTAGGAAAGTACTGATTCTCTCCTCCCTTCTGCCCTCCTCCAGGTCTGACTACCTTGCCATCCCGTCCGAGAACAAAGAGAGTTCAGCCGTACCTGTGGAGGAATAGAGGCATGCGCCTGGGGTGACGTACAGGGAACGGCCAGGGGCAGCGCATCCGGACAGCAGCTGGTGCAAGTGACTGTGTCCATCCACACCCAAGTGACTTTACATCTGACCCCTTAGATTTCTACCCTACCCAGAGTCCCCGCCCTCAGGGTACTACCTGAAGTCGATGATACCCAGGTCACAAAGCTCTACATCAAGCCCTTCAGAAGGTGAATTGCTTTGGCCTGAGTGTTGGAGCAACTTGAACGTCTTTCCCACCGCGACAAAAACTCCCCCACTCCCTCCTTTGTAAGGATTGTGGATTTGGTCAGAGTCTTCGGCTGGGCTGGACTGGGCCAGGCTGGAAATTCTCAGTGAGTTGTTTTATCGTTGGTAGGTGGTCTGGACCCCGAGGACGGGATATTCCAGATTCAATGATATCAACGGCATCAGAAGGGTGCCCCAGGGGCCACATCGCTTTGCCTCCTGCATCCATCCTTCTAGTCACTCATATCTGCTCACATCTGAACTTTCACCTCTGACTTCCTAACTCCATCAGACCTCTGCACACCCTAAGACTTTGCCAGAACCGAGGAGCCAACATTTCTATGTGGACTCAACCTCACCCTGTTCTAGCTTTCAAGCGAGGAGCTCCCATGCCAACCGGACTTCCTCCCTGGGCTCCAAATGACTCTGTACAAATGCTGGAGATGGCACATCCCTCTGTCCCTAACTAGCTGGAACTGGCTCGTCCTTCATTGCTGCAAGTGAATGGATGTCTTCATGGAAGGAAGCGGGAATGATTAATTCGGGTTAAAGCAAGAGTGTCATGAAGTGGGATTCCTTGAAGCCAGTTTTTTTCAAGTCCCTGGCCTACCTGACTAGAGCATCAGAGCAAAGCATGCCTTTCTAGGTTCTTCAGTGATAGAAAGTTTATTAAGCCTGGACCAAAATGTGCTCGGAACTTGGTACTCTAGGGCTCGATCCCGATAGGTCTCTAAGGCTTAAGCGGGGTTCAGTCCTTCAAGAAGCCAAAGACAGAAGTGGCTCTTAAAAGTCATGCAACAGGTTCATAACCCTATTGGGGTAGCACGGGTGCACCCTCCAAGGGGAGCACCCACCTGAGATCGCTGGGAAGCACTATTTCCCTGTGGGCATTGGAACAGAAATTCCTAAATTCTTCCTCTCAAAATTCCTGTAGATCAGTATTATTCCTCATTTCACAGGAGACAACTGGGACTCCAGACCGGGCTCAACTGAGTAAGAGACTTCAGAGGCTAACCTGGGGCATAATAAGCCTTAGATGCTGTCCAGTCGGGACTTTCAGAGACGGGATGATTTTGTTTTTAAAAAGACCTTGAAACTGAGCTTGGCTGTGGCCATGCCTCATCCCCAATCATGGGGGTGGGCTGGGTGATGGGCTTGGATTGCCTGGCTAAGGTTAACTCTGATAGCGTCAGGTAACTGGAATCCGGCTAAAAGGCCCAGAGTAGGACATGGGGTGGACTGGAAGAATTACCTCAGTGAACATGAAGAATCTTCCAGAAGGACGTTGCCTCTGGGAATACTTAAACTAAGAAATGTGCTTTTTAGTCTTAGATGGATGACATGTGAATGAGTGAAGAGACGGGCAGGGATCATTGACTTCCAAATATTCCACCCACGAATCCATGATGTCTCTCGCTGTTGGGTATTTTTCTGGATTTTGGGAGAGCAGAGGAACACTGAAAAAATTTGAGTCAGTGTCTCATTTCATTTCAACTGAGTGACTGGTCCAAGTGTGATGTCCTTCGGCACCTAGTGATGAGGAAGGGGAAGGCTGCTTTATGGGATATGAAAGCACGGCGGCGGCAGGGCCCAGGCAGTGAGATGTCCCTCAGATCTGGGGGAATGTGTGAGGGAAAGAGCACACTCCACAGGCTCTGGGGCTCACCCAACAAATCTTTCAACTCTTCCATCCTTGGGAGGATCTGCTTGAAACAAGTCCTTGTTCACATCTTCAAGAGTCCAATTTTATTGAAGAAAATACTTTCAGTAAACTCAAGCAAGACCTTTCTCGTTGGTAATTTCCCACACAATTCCTCTGAAATAGGCGGCAGAATATAGACCATTTTTCGTACAAAAAAAAAAAAAAAAAAAATCTGTGAGTTCCAGTCCCGTGGCTGGTGGATGGCCAAGTTTACAGCAGAAGCAAGCTACTTCCGACCAGCCGACCCTCCTCTTGCTTCCAGGAGACCATGCATCTGACTCGTAATCAAGTAGTACACATGATGGCTGCCTTTGTCCTTTTTCAAAAGCCCAACTCAAGTATTTCCTGAGTGGTTTGTTCTTTTTTTTTTTTAAGATTTTATTTATTTATTTGACAGACAGAGATCGCAAGTAGGCAGAGAGGCAGGCAGAAGGGGGGTAGGGGGAAGCAGGCTCCCTGCCAAGCAGAGAGCCCGATGCGGGGCTCCATCCCAGGACCCTGAGGTCATGACCCAAGACGAAGGCAGAGGCTCAACGCACTGAGCCACCCAGGCACCCCTCCTGAGTGGTTTTTAAGGAACTCAATGGCACCTATCATTTTCTCCTCTTCTTTATCTTTTACAAGGAAGCCTCTCAATTCTTTTCTCTTTCCTAACCTCTCCACCCCTCTCATCCTTAATTCTGCCGTGAGAGCAACATGGCTTACACAGCACTTTCATTTCCAATACTTTAGTTCTCTTCCACAGCTAGTCCTGTGAGGCGGGTATTACCGTGGGTATTACCATACCCAGGTATCAACCGAGCACACTGAGGCTGTCTGAGGCCAAGCAGCTTTACCACATCCTGCCTTCATACACCTGGGAGGCGCGGAGCTGCGGTCGGGTCTTCTCTGGACTCCTGGCCCCGCTCCTTTTCTACCCGGACCGCCGCTGCTTTCTTTCACGGCTGAATTTCGTCTCCTCTCCGCCTCTCTTGCAGGGGTTGGACAGCTCTCACCCCTACCCCTCAACTGCTCCTCTGCCGCTTTGCGTCTTAGCAGTGCTCGCATGGTGCTTTGAGAATCTGTCTTGTTTCGGTTTTCCTTCTCTGGCTGGTTTGCACATCACTCTTTCTCCTGAATGGCAACTCAGCTCCTTCCCGGGAGGCTTGATCAGGACTACAAACCCCGTGATCCCCAGCCTGCTTCAGATCCTCCCCATATTCCTAGAGGAGCCAGAACCAGTGTGCATTGCTCTGGAAGCTTCGTCTGGCATGTTTTCTTATTAAAGGGCTTAGAAATGTTCTCAAGGGCTATTACCACTTTAGGAACCCCACCTGTTGCCTTGGTGCTGCGTATTTCCCACGACAGATCCCTCAATAACACAATTCGCTGAAGGCCAGGCCAGGCTGGCTCTGGTTTTTCTTTTCCTACTGCTAGAACAGCCAAGAACTTGATTGCTCAACTCGGCCGGCGCTGTAGACACCCTGCCCTACTGACCTTTCCTGCCAGCTCGGTCTTTTTGCACAGCCCCAGCTCTTGTGTGTTAATACTGTGACAGTCCCTCCCCCAGCCTTTACTTTCCATCTGTTTAAAAGCATTCTCCTTTACTTCCTCCATCCCCCAACATCCACACACCCAGATTGCCAATTCTCTGAGTTTTTCTCTTTTGATGCCCAACTAGACAGGTTAGTAGGAAGGGAATTTCTCAAAGCAGGAATGTGCTGGAGAAACGAGGACGGCAGTGGATGGCTGAGGGGCAGGAGGAGGTCCTTCCCCTCCCCAACAAAACTACTAGATCAAAAAGTAAAGGACCTCTAACCCCGGATCTGTGGACCTACCTGACGCCAGGGGGCAGAGGCTGTGTGACTGGCATCCCTGTGGGAAGATGCAAGCCCAGACCCATTTCAGAACAGACCTTGGTTCCCAAGTTCACACAGGAAGGGAAAAATAAAACACCAACAAAAAGCCTTCCCCTCCCCTCCTTTTGTAAATGAAAGGTCCCTACGCCAGTGAGTTCGCCTCGTCCCTGCGAGTGTATCTGAGTCGTACTGGTGTGTTCAGCCTCTGATCGCCCATCTCGCCTGCGTTTCCGCATGCACTGTCTCAAGCACCAGGCTTTTAAGCCTCTGGGTGCCCCGCCGCCTTAGGTCGGAAAAATACCGTCAGCCAAGCTCTTCCTCATCTCTGAAAGTCCGGCATGGTAGATAACTCATGTTGAGCTCGCCTGTTTGTGAGTTTAGAGTAGGACCCAGTAGATAAGCACATGAGCCAAGTCTGAATTGTGGTAGATCAGACTCCACCCCTCTCCTAGGCCAGCTAAGCCTCAAAGCTGGTAACAGCCTTCTCCCCGCTGCATCACTATCCGGCAAGAGCTGCATCCGCTGGGCAGGGGCGCGGCGGAAGCCGAGCACTCGTCCATTTGGGAACAGCATCGAACACAATCCGCCAATTCCTGCAGTCCCGCAACTGACGCATCTTTGCCACATCATCCTCTTCGTTATTGCTTTTTGATTTTCCACAGCCAAGCTTTTTCCAAACCCTAGAAACGTCGTTCCTGATCGCCCACGCTCTCCACAGACTAACGCCAGTAGGTAGTGTTTTTCAGGAAATACCCTGTTTGTGTCAATAAAGTGTCTCTAAACGCACTTGCTCTGGTTTGGCTGTGTGTATCTGCTGTCTGTACTATGGCTTCTACCTCCCTCCCCAGCCCGCGCCAACTCCGTTAACTCCCCATCGGTGGTATCTTCCCGCAGAGCAAAAAATGCATTTAGCAGTCTAGAACTAAACGGTATAAATGTGTGATGCAGCCCTCCTTCCCTCTCCAAACCAAAGGAATGCAAGAGTTGCCAGTCTTCCCTCCCGCCCGACACCCAGTAAGTTTCCCATCACGTGGTGAGGGTGTAACTCCAAGACAGACAGGCCTAATGAGGGGAGGGGCCAGACTCCTCAACCAGTCTAGGCTAACAAGGAAGGCAAAGCAGTCTCCCGGATGTCCACCTTCCTGGAAGGGTCAAGGCACAAAAGGGAAAAGTTGAGTAAGATGTTGTCCCTGGGAGTCACAGCATGTGATAATAGGCTCCTACAGTAATGGTACTGCTGGGCGCTCCTGGGGTGGGGGGGCAGTCGGTTGAACATCCTACTCTTGGTTTTGGCTCAAGTCGTGATCTCAGGGTCGTGAGACTGAACCCCACTTTGATTCTCTCCCTCTCCTTCTGCCTCTCCCACTAATAAATCTTTCAAAGAAAAGTACGGTTAATAAGGAAAAAAAGTTTTCTTAGTATAGTACTTGCCACTCTATGAAGAAACACACAGACACTGGGGCACCTGGGTGGCTCAGTGAGTTAAAGCCTCTGCCTTTGGCTCAGGTCATGATCGCAGGGTCCTGGGATAGAGCCCCTCATCGGGCTCTCTGCTCAGCGGGGAGCCTGCTTCCTCCTCTCTCTCTGCCTGCCTCTCTGCCTACTTGTGATCTCTGAAATAAAATCTTTAAAAAAATAAATAAAATAAATAAGTAAATAAAATCTTTTAAAAAAAGACACACACATATTTTATATTATCTCTAAAAAACTGAGGCTTAGAATAATGGATGGGGACCAAGGTCACACAGCTGGAAAGTAGTGTTGCTGCAATCCATACTCTGGTCTGATTCGAAGACTTCTTATCCATCTGACTTATCAGGCTGCCTGCCTTCCCAGGAAAGGGCATCCTAGACATTGAGCATGTGTATGAGCGTGCACACACACACCTCTACATGCATGCACGCCCTCATCACATCCGGGAGGACCCAAACCTTTCGGGGTGATGAGCACTAATGAATCGAGCAATAAACACACACACCATTTATTATTTGTAGTTCAATACTTTTTTCTTTTAATTCATACTGTACTTCCATGGCTCTAGCTACTTTACATGAAGATCTGGCTGGGAAGCCGTGTATGGTTCTAGGTAATAGCAGGTAAGTTTTCAGACCTTGCGCACAGCGCCAGGCAAAGTACAGTTCTAGATCCAAATACAGAGGCCAGACAACTCAACTGCAGTCGACTGGTGTTCTTTCCCATATATGGCCCCATGCAGGTGCTGGGGGCTGCTCCCTCTGCCTCACCCACTCCACCCATTGTCAGGATTATCCAGGGGCCCCTGGGGCCTCTGACTCATCTCTCCCCACCTTGGAGTCTAGGTTGAGTGGGGATCGGGGGAAAAGCACCATGGGTTTGGGAAGATGACCTGGTCCATGCAGAGAGTGGTCTGGCCCTAGAGTGCAGGACAGGGAAATGTGGGGAGCCACACTACTGTTGGCAAAAATGGTTGCTTTTGTTATGCAATCTCAGCACGTGGCACCCGAGCCCAGGGCCAACTCCCCAGACAGAGCCAGCTGTCTCGCCTGGAGCGGAGGCCGCCATCTTGTTTCTGCAGCGTCTCACAGTGTTGTGAGAAGCAAGGAGGCCACGGGGCACAGATGACAGTATTCTTTACTCTTTCACATGCTGGGTACATCATCTGGCATCGGCTCCTCTTGGCAGGCAAGGTGCTTCCCGCCAGTGGCCAAGGTTCCAGTCCAGGCTCCCAGGCCTGCTGAGGACCTCAAGTCACAACAGAGAACAATGCCCATGACCCCTGAGCTGTCGCACCCAACACCGAGCCAGGGAGCTGGCTGGGCCCGTCACAGCCATGGCTGGAGCAGGAGTGAGGTAACAAGGCTGGGCAGAGAGGTGGGAAGGGGTGCTCTCTACACCTTGTGCAAATTCCTGCTCCATATCAGGGAAGCAGGGGGTGTTAAGAGACGACCTTCCAGAAAAACGCTCCACTCGGACCCAAAAACGCATCTTCTGGAAGAAAACATAGAGGTGGAGGGAGGGGGGCCAGCCTGCTGGAGATTGGGGGATGAGGGTCAAGGATGTCAAGTGGTGGATGGGATGATTGTCCCACAGCCTAGAGACAAGGGGTAGGGGGAGGAGAGAGTCAGGAAGACAGGTTCTCAAGTTTCCTACTGGAGTGGGCAGGTGAGGTCCAGGGGGTGTGGGGAGGGAGATCACAGCCCTGCCACCTAGGGGCCCTAGGGAGGAAGGGGCTCGCTCTGGCTGTTCTGCAGAGCTAAAGCAGCAGCATAGTATGGCACAGAGAACAGCCTTCTGAGACCACAGTCCAGAAAGATTCTTCTCCCTGGTCCTTTCTCCAAGACTTCACCCTAGAGATGCTGCCCAGAAATGATTTTAGACATGGTCCAAGCTTGTGTCAGGACAGGGACAGGGAGAGAAGCCATTTCTAGCAAAGCATTCTTCTTGAGGTTTCTTGATCCCTCTCCCCCTTCCTGTAATCCCAGGTTCTTAGGGTCAGTGCTCTATGACAACCCCAGGATTTTAGCCAAAGCTTCACAATTAATCAAAACCCCAGCAAGGTTTGAACTGAGTCAAAAGAGAAGTACTAGGACCAGGAATGACTTCTCTCCAGTGTTTCTTCTAGTGAGGAGGAGGAAGGATGGATAGATGAAAGGCTTCACAGCCTAGAGACAAAAGATGAGCTTATATTAATCCAAGATGGTGCCCTTCTTGCCATTATCCTCCTCCTCCTAGCTTAGAGAAAGTCCCTTCCCAAACTAAGACTAGGCCAACAAAGGAAGACACACCCTCCTAGATTAATATTGGGAAATACAACACACCTGATCTCCTTCTCCCTACCTCACTAGGCCTCCTTAGTCTTGCTGGCTCATAAAGAAGAAAGTTTAACTATCCTGGATTTCCCAGGAACCCTGACACTGCCCTACTACTCTACACACCAGGAAGCTCTAGCCCAGAAGGCTTGTTCTCTCCAAGTTTGAGAAAGCCCTACCTTACCAGTGTCCAACACAGCCTAATAAAGACAATGCCCACACTAGAACCTATCTTAGAGATGGTCCAGCTCAACCCCCCTCCCGTTACAAAGGAGGATACAGCAACTCAGGTAAGGGAAGTGACTTGTCCAAGAGCAGAGCCAGGACTTGGGCCCAGGTCTCCTAACTTAGCCCAGTGCTCTAACAGAGAGCTTCTAAAGCTGCTGATCCTGCTGCCCTTGTCCCAGGGAGGTGAAGGGGAGAAGCGAGGCATTGCAGATGTAAGTGGGTTCTCCAAGGCCATAATTCCTTCAAGGGAGCTGGAATGGAAGGACAGACCCTGTAGCTCACTGCCACCTGGTCAGAGACGCTGCAGCATCTTTTGAATGCAAGCTCTCAAACGTGACCCCAGGAATCCTCGAGGAAAGATTCCCACATGACCAGGGTCCTTACGTGAACAAAAACAAAGCACAGGCTGGAAGAAATTACATAAAGGATGTGGTTCTCATGCTCCTGGTAACAGCTATGAGCCAAGCTGCTGAGCTCGAGCTGCCATGTTACTGATCAGTTTCATTCCCAGACTTAATCTACAAAGGTGCGCTTCCTTGGACAGGTTACTGAGTGTGGGGAGAAGGTTTTGTTCAGGAGTGAATAAAGGTGTTGGGTCTTCTGCTTTGAAAGTTAAACACAGTATTAGAACAGAGTGCCCACAAGAGATCCATGATTCTTAGGAATGAGGTAGGCCGAGGGACCTTCCCCATGTGTACACAGTGTGTCCCAGGTTCAAACCCCCAGGGTTCCTCGGATATACTAAGCATCTCCCTTCCTGTCACCTTCTCCTCCCTGGGATAGCCAAAGAGGTAAAGCAAAAGCGAACAGCTCTGTGCAGCCAAGCCCCCTTACATCACTTTATTCCCAGCAGAGAAACCACTGGAAGTCACCCCAAAGGTCCCACCACGGGACCATCAACAACTGGATGATTTAAATAAGTATTAAATTATGAATGGAATAAAGGAGAGAATTTATCACTTTTGCTTTCAAAAGTTTCTGAGAATAATGTTGGCCTCTGGATCCTGCGGCAGGAAAATTTCTAGCAGTCTGCACTGTTCCTCCTCCTTTGGCCCGGGGCCCACAAGCCCTGACCATCACTGGAGTGTCTCCTGATCCAAGTCCTGGACAAGGATGAGGAGTGACCCCCCCGTGACCTGTGGGCACATGCACCTTGCACAGGCATGATTCCAGCCCTGGAATCTCCTTTCCTAGAGAAGGGATATCCATTCTAGCTGATTCTCAGCCCACTCCCCTGAGGCAAGTATCCTTTGTTTTCCCATCCTGCCCTTAGGCAGGATATTTCTCAGACTGAGAAGTCAAAAGCTGTCTTTGATTGTCAAAGGGGGATGCTCAGGCCATTCCAACAGAAGAATATGACTTGCTTTTCTTTATGGCTAGATCAGCGATAAAATCCTCCTTTCCTTTGACCTCCTATGTCAAGAGACCCCCAGGAGAACAAGCAATCTGGAAGAGTCTTCCCGGCCAAACTAGTATGATCCTTTCCCAACCGAGGATCCGAGGGGCTGGCAGGATTCCTCTGATCATTACACAGAGGAATAGCAGTTAAATGAATGAAAAATGCTAATCGTGCCCAGAAGGCCCCTGCAAGGTCAGATAAATGCCCGCGTCTGAGGGAGCCAACTCCCAACTGGCCCTGGGTGACTCACTCTCCTAACCAAAGGTCTTCTTTCTCCTCCTGAGTGGTCTTGTACCTCTCTGGGTCCAGAGGCTGGAGAAGGCTTTGCCTCCTCTGCCACAGCTCCCACTCCCAAGTCTGAGGCATGGGATTTGGAATGGCCTCCACGTGGCAGAGAGGCTCACTCTGGCCTTTTCCTGCACAAATGTAATGCACTTTTGCCAAATGCATTCCTTCCAAAAGCCTAGGTCTCCTACCCTGTGCAGAGTGTCTTCATTGTCTCCCTTAATCAAAGTCAGTCCTTCCCTTATAAGGAAAGGATGCTGGCAGCCAAGTGAGCGCTTGGAGATCGGTGCTCACTACTCCTACGGCGTTCTCTGTGAACCTATGATCTGATTGTACAGTGCTAGGGCACTCCCTCCCTCCAACCCCGGACGCCCCTAGGACACCCTGACTCGTCCCGGAAATCAAACTATCAGCTCAAAGTGAAGAAATTAGAGCCACAGGCCTGGTGGCTCATAACCACTCGGAAAGGGGTTTAACGAGATCCAAAATGCTCCATCCTGGCTAATAAACGATGTGCTCTTAGGGCACAGAGAAAAAATAGGGCTTTAGGCACTAAAAAGTGACACTTCACCCAGATCCAGCCTGGGAGAAGACCAGAGAGAAGGGGGAAGGGGGTGGGAAAGTAAGAAATTCCCAGCCCTTATTGGGTCCACACCCTACAGGGGTCAGGGGAAGGTGCCGGGGTGAGGGAAGAGGACACCATCCTGCACACGTGTCCTCGGGAGCCTGCAGCTCAAGGCCCAGTCCCACAGGGGCAGCCTTCCCAGCTTTCCAGCCCTCCGCCTCGCTGGGGGCGCGTGGTCCATAGACAGCGGGGTGGGAGGGAGGGGGCGGGGCTCAGGTGGCAGAGTTTAGACCGGGCTCTTGCCCTTGATGCTTCCTGTTCACAAGAGAACACCTGGGGAAGCCTGGGGTAGGGAAGAAAAGATTCTCTTTTATTTTGGAAACAAATCAAGAGGGGATTTGGGAATGAAGCACCTTAAGCCCCTTGAGACTTCGAGACCCCAGGGTCTTCACAGGCATGACTTTGGCTCAACATTTCCCTTCTCAGAGCCTGGAACGGCCAGGAGGGGAAGGGCGGGGACAGGGGTGTGGGAAGGATCAGGGGAGGTCGGTGCTGAGAGGTGGTCCCTGCCCTCCTCGGCCCCTCCGCCGACCAGCACAGGAGGCGGGCCCGCTCCTTCTCCCTGGTACATAGGCATTATCTCTTTTTAAAATCTGTATATAATATATATATATTTATATTCTGTATATATATATATTTATATATATCTATTTATACGGTCTATGTACACGTATTGCACGGGCCTCTCGCAGTCCCCCCTGCTCCTGCCTTGTCAGTGATAGCGGTTCCTCTTCTCTTCACTTTCTGACGTGTAGTCTCGGGACCTGATGCCGTTCTGGAGATTGATGAGCGAGTCCTTCATCTGGAAGACAGGGAAGCCCACCCAGCCCCGGGATGGTGCCCTCAGTGGGCTTCTCCACCACGCCCACCAAGGGCGGTTCCCCTAGCGCAACATCGAGTTCCAGGAAGCTGGGCCCCTAAGACAAGGGGGATTCTCCTAGGATGCTGCCTCCAGCAGAAAGGGGACAGCCAATCTAGCACTGGGAACCCTTGGGGTGAGGTTCCCTGTGTCTTAATGATTTGTGGCCCCTGTGTTGCTCAATTAAGAATTCTCTCTCTCTCTCTCTCTGTCTCTCTCAGGGCGCCTGGGTGGCTCAGTTGTTAAGCGTCTGCCTTCAGCTCAGGTCATGATCCCAAGGTCCTGGGATCAAGCCCCACATCCGGCTCCCTGCTCAGCGGGAAGCCTGCTCCCTCACCCTCTGCTGCTCCCCCTGCTTGTGTTCTCTGTCTCTCTCTCTGTTAAATAAATGAATAAAATTTTTAGGGAAAAAAAAAAGAATTCTCTCTCTCTCTCTCTCAGGGTGCCTGAGTGGCTCAGTGGGTTAAGAGTCTGCCTTCAGCTCAGGTCATGATCCCAGGGTCCTGGAATCGAGTCCCACATAGGGGTCCCTGCTCAGTGGGAAGTCTGCTTCTCCTTCTACCCTTCCCCCCGCTTGTGATCTCTCTCTCTCACTCAATAAAATCTTGGGAAAAAAAATTCTCTCTTTTGGGGCGCCTGGGTGGCTTAGTGGGTTAAAGCCTCTGCCTTTGGCTCAGGTCATGATCCCAGGATGCTGGGATCGAGCCCCGCGTCGCACGCTCTCTACTCTTCGGGGAGCCTGCTTTCTCCTCTCTCTCTCTCTGCCTGCCTCTCAGCCTGCTTGTGATCTCTGTCTGTCAAATAAATAAATAAAATCTTTAAAAAAAAAAATTTTCTCTTTCAAAAAAGAAAAAATTTCTCAAAGCATTCCACTGCTATAAGGAGCCCCACGAGGCTGTCTTCTACTCATTCCAGGTGGTTTCCCCATCAAGCCTGAAGACCATATACTCCCATCTTGTGCATTTTGCCACCTTATTTTCCCAGCCCGGGGCTCTTGTTTTCTTGCCTATTCCAATCTCACCCATCGTAAGGCCCAGAACAAGTCCAAACGTTCTCTAGCTCACCATCCGCTTCCTTTTTCCTGGCCGCTCGCAAACCACTTGTTGGGACTCCACACTAGAGTCATCTGTAATCGTTTTGTTTCATGTGTGGTGGATAGCAACAGACACTTTGGGCGCCAAGCAGAGACCCGACAACTGAGCAGGCTTCTAGCTGTACCCACATCATGAATTAACCTTAACTGAATGTCTTAACCTCCACGAAGGAAGAGGCACACTAACACTGTCAGGTCATGGCCAGGAGTCTAAATGGGGTAGAGTACCAGCAGCAGAATCCTAATGGGTCTGTCATACCACAACACGTTTACATAGCACCTTGACCTAAGCTGCCCTGGGACAACAAGGCTAACATTTCATGGGCACATGGCTATGGATTTTGAAATCCTCTGTCCCTCTGCCTAATCTAGTTTTCTTCTTTCTCTCTGGTTCTTCTATATACCCTTTGCTCTGTAGGGATGCTCCAAAGGGGTCTGTTATTAATCTTCCTGAAGTTACTTTTAAAGGGAATGAAACGGGCACCTAGGGGGTGTCAGTCTGTTAAGCGTCAGCCTTCAGCTCAGGGCATGATCTCAGGGTCCTGGGATCAAGTCCTACAGCGGGGATCGAGTCCCCGCTGAGCAGGAAGCCTGCTTCTCCCTCTCCTGCTCCCCCTCCTTGAGCTCACTCTATTGCTCTAATAAATAAATAAGAATCTTTAAAAAAGTAAAATAAAATAAATAAAGGGAATGAAACAGAACATCTATCCTAACGCTCATAGAGTTGAGTCCTCCACCCTATACATCTGACCGCCCCATGCTCCAATGTAAGGGACCCCATCCTGACACCGGATTCTGGAGTTGTAAGAGAACCTGGTCGTTCAGTCCAACTGCCTCCTACTTCATTCATAAGTTTCTTATCTGACACCACCTGGTCAACCCTTGGGCACTTCCGGTGATAGAATCTCGAGCCTTCAAAATAGCCCATTCCATTCCTGACTAGCTTGTCAGTGGTCTGTTTTTATTTGATTACTTGAAGCTCCCTTTCCCTGTAACTTCTAGCCCCTGGGGCCCCACGAGCATTCAATCTATCCTTCTACCTGTTGGACCTCGAGGTCTGAAGCCTATCCTGTTTTCCTCGCCCCATCCTTCCTTCTCCTAAGTGTATCTTTAATTTGATCAACTTTTCTTGGTATCACAGAGCTCCTAAGCCCCCTGCAATGCCATTTACCCCTTTTGTTAAAAAAACAAAAAAATCCATGGCTCCAAAGCTAAACATGATATTCTAGAACACATTAAATTGGATCCTGATAGCCACATTAAAATGCTCTCTCCTCGATCTACAGCTAAGACCACACTATGAAGGGGAATAAGATTTAATATTAATGAGGGCCTCCCCCGTGCCCTCAAATCCTGACAGCAATTCCACGAAGTCACAATTGTAATTCCCATTTTATAAAGGAAGAAACTGTGAAGTCACTAATATTAAATCCCTTGCTCCAGGTCACAAAACCAGTCCGTGGCAAGGTTGGGATTCCCTCTCAAGTCGGGCCGACCACCAAACATAAAGAACTCCTTAGGAACAGAAATTTTAATGGACAAATTTTTCGTCTCCTATGTTCTTAATTCTCTTGGAGGGCAAAGTTAGCCTCTTGCTGTCTTGGCAACTACAAAGGAGTTCTAAGATGTTAACTTCTTCTGGGGGAAGGAAGAGAAGCTCCCTCCTTTGATGAAACTAAACTTGTTGATTTTGCACCGGAAGGATTTTCTTAAAGAGATGAACGAACGCAGTGTTTGGAAAGAACACAGGCACCTACACTAGAAGATGTCACAAAGAGATGACGCAGTACTAACACCATCTTCCCAGACTATCTGTGCACCTGATGGAGAGTGACGTGTTGGGGGTTGTGTGCTGGTGTGTGTGTGTTGAGGGTGGGGGGCGGGGGGGCATACAGCAAAAGTTGCTAGAAACATATGCCCTCTGGGAAGACAAATCTCTGTGAAAGGAGGTTCTCCCCTTTAAATGCCTGTCAGATGGCCACGAGTGACCAAGGGGGGGGAAAAATAAAGGAGTTCTTCAGTCTAACCTACCGCTTTCTTGCTGCAAATTTCATTGTTATCGCTTGGGGAGAACACCTGTGTTTCCAACAACCCATTCCAGGATGACTTTAAAATCAGAACAATGGATGGCCCAGGGGAAGAACGAACAGGAGGGTGAGGTCCAGTGGGTGGGGGTGAGGATGGGGACGGGACGGGGAGATCTCCCAGGGCACAGGGAAGCAGCTCATCTTCAGAAGATGAGGGCAAGGAGGCAAAGTGGGGACATCTCACCTGGTCAAGAAGCATTACCGAGGATTTGATGATCTCTCTCCATTTTTGGAGCTCTGTATCGTGGTACTTTTGTTGGGACTCCAAGAGCTGGGCCCATTCTGTCTGAGACTGGGGTAACCTGTGGGGCAGAAGAAGGGGTACCCTGGCAGCTGGAGTTATGCTCAGTGGACTGTCCTGTGCTCCCAGACCCCTAAAGGACAGAGAGTCACATCAGACTGCTTTGTCCTCTGCTCAATGCCCCCGGCTCCCCTGTGCCCCAGGTCAGAGGCAGACTAAAGCTACACGGACAGTTTTCAGAGCCCACTTATGGGCTCATCCCAAAGGGTTACCCACTGGATAAGGGCAGCGGAGCCGTCCCACGGAGACTGGGTGGCAGGAGCAGGGGCACGGTACCAGGTGGGGTGGAAGTGATGGCCCAGGGAAGAGGCAAGGATTACCTTTCTTGGAGCCTCAGACCCTGCCAGGCGGTGAGTGTCTGGGTGGTGTATTCCAACATCCAGAGTTTGTAGAAGAGCATTATGTTAAGGACAACCAGCAGCACCAGACTGGGAAGGAGACAAAGGGGACAAAGGCGACAGGCATGAGAGGTCATCTGAGAATGCATGCAACCTTGAAAAGCCTGGGATCACCCCCCCCACCCCTCCAGAGGCAGCTGCTGTCCTTGACCATTGGTCACCTGAAGCATGGCAGTAAGGGAGGGAGGAGGAAGGATGCAGCGAGGGGGAGAGGGAGAGAGAGCAGCGCTCTCATCTGGAGGGGCCAGGACACAGCAGGAGCGCCATGGAGAGGCACGTGGGCGAAGGCATTGGGAAAGAGACACACATAGGAGCCCCCTAGACCCAGGGTGCCTGGGGGAAAGAGGTAAGATGGAGAGGAAAAGAGATGAAGGGTAAACAAAGCAATCAGAGAGCCAGTACCTGAAACAGATCCTAATGGGAGCAAGGAGGAAAAATGGGGGGGAGGCAGAGGTTAGAACAGGCCAGTGCCGAGATGGGGAGGGCTGCACTGTAACCAAGCCAGGGAGCAAGTGAGTCTGGGGGGAAGAAACACTGGAAGCGAGGACACGAGGACGAGGAGACCCAGCAAGCAAGGAGCAAGAGACAGCAGCTGCAAACAGATCTTAATAGGTCAAGGGAGACACGCAGAGGCAAGTCCTCCTACCCAGCGAATCGGACACACGACAAAAGGGCGAGGCTGTGGACTATCGGCCTGATCTGCCCAACAGGGGTTAGCACGATGTCCTACAGCACGTCTCGTCCTCATGCCTGTCCGGACCCGTGGGGGTCACGAGGTTGCCCGGGCTGGGCTAGCATTGCTGAGAGCCAGGAGATGGTAAGGACGACCCTGGGGGCACAGAGGGCCACCAAGAGATGGGGGAGCCTCAGGGGCTGCCAAAAGATTTTAGGTTCATGGCAGAGAGATGATTTGCAGAGCAAGGGGATCTAGAGACACACAGAACTGGGTACAGTGCTGGTACAATGTTTCAGGGTTCTGAAATTCCGATGAAGTTCCCTAGCTTCTCTGAACACCCTTAACTACCCCGCTGGGGCTGCACTGTGCGTGGGCTGAAAGCGTGGACGGAAAGCTCCCTGGACACAGGAGCCCCCCATGACGGCTGGTTTTATCATGAAAGGGGTATGAGGACATTTAGGGACACACACAAGAAAAGGGAGACAGAATGATGGAAAAGGACCAACAAAGAACATCTTATGCTGTGCCTTCGACCTTTCGGGGGTATGTGTGCGTGTGTGTGTGTGTGTGTGTGTGTGTGTGTGAGAGAGAGAGAGAGAAAGAGAGAGAGAGAGAAGAGAGCGAGACTGGGCTCTTCTCTGTGCCTCCAGCACTACAGAAGCGGATACTCCTGGAGCTGGCAGCTTCCAGTCCCTGACCCCATCCAGGGCTCTGTGCCTTCTCCAGAACAATCTAAATTTCACGCTGACTTGCAATGACGCTGCCTCTAACTGTACCCACATGCACCAGAGGACCTGAACGCCCGCCTCTTTGGCGTGGGCTGCGTATATCCTACCTCCTGCATTTAGGTCTGTGTGTACAATCCTGCCTGTGCTCCGTGGAGGTCTACGGACACCCCTGCAAGCGGTCTGAGGAAAGAGCCTGGTCCACACAGGGGAGGGCGGGCAGAGCTGCTTCGGGGCCCGCCGGACACAGGGTGGCCCGTTCCACCCACACTGTCCGCAAATTTGCAGCCCGGACCCTCTAAGTGTTGAATGATGAAGGCCATGATCTTAACCTAACAGAGTCCCACAGTCAGCTAACGCCATGCGATCACACTGACTCGGGAGAGCAGGCCTCCTTCAGTAAGTCTGCATGCAGGAAAAGCTCAGACAGAACCCACCTGAGGTTCGAGTTTTCGATCTACTAGACCCAACAGGAGAGACTTGGCAGTACGAATCCCCTCAAATGGATGTTGTTGAACAGGAGTCTTACTGGTTTCACAGCTGTCTTTGTATGTATGTGTGTATATCTTTGTATTTGTATGCAACTTTGTAAGAGACCTTGGCTCCCCAGGCCATGGGCAGAAGAAATCTCCACCTACGTTTCTATTACACGTGCAGTCAGGTGAGAAGAGAGCCCGCCTCATGTTCCTCACGCGCCCCCCCCATGGTGCCCACGCCTTGTCTGTGGCCCCGATTTCTTCTCACACCCGGCGCTGTCCTCGGATGGTCTCATTCTCACCCAGGGCTCTCATGCTACCGTTAACTAAATCAGCATCCATGAGCCATATGCCTCTCGGCCTCGCCCAGGTCTACATCAGCAAGTGCTGTCCCCTCCCCCTGGATTCCCTACTGCAACGTGGGACACAGCTGGAGCCCAGAGCGTCTTCTCGGACAGATCTGCCACCCGACCCGGATTTCTGTGAACGACACAACCATCTCCAGGAGCCCACCGCAGTCCTCCCTCTTCTTCGGCTACCCAACCAGATGGCTAACAGGTCCTCCGTCCCCTCCTTGAGGGACAGTCACGCTCCCCTATGCCGCTGCCCCTTACTTGGACCAGCCTGCCTGCCTCCAGCCCTTTCTTCTCTAGGCCTCCCGCTACAGGCCGGCAGAGGGACTTAAAACAACACCACCACCTGATCTTAGCCAAAAGGCCCTGAAGCGATAAAACGGCAACACAGAAAGCCAATCCTGCCACATTCCAGGGCTTCCTGACGGTTTGTCTGTGCCTCTGCTTCTGCCTCTCTGAAAACGAGTTATGGGGGCCTGACCGAGTTGGGAGAGAGTGTCATAGAAGAAAGACCCAGAGACAGGCCAATCCCCAGTGCAGAGCAGGCAGGACCCCCATCTGGGCATCTCCCATGTCACACCTGCCTGTGCCCCCCTCAAGCTCACAGCACACCCCCATCTCCAGGGAAGGCGGTGGGGCGGGGGTGGTCCGGCAGTGGGCAGAACCAAGCAGAACAGCAATCTGCACTCAGCCGCCCGTCCCAGGAACTCCCTGCTCCCAGCAGTTCAGGGACGACCCCAGTGTCCTGGGCTCCCCCGTGGACAGCTGGGCCCTCCCACGCTACCTGTGCATTTCTTCCCACTTCGTCTCTCCCTGCCCAGAGTCCTCCTGGGAACATTACTGCGTCTACTGTTCTATAATGTGATGGCAACCTTGTAAATTATTTACAATGATATAAGCATATATTTCGGGACAGTCGTCATCGATTTTGTCTGGCTTTCCTGCCAAAGTGTGGGCCCAGGAGTGCCCGATCCTGGCCCCCGGACCAGAGCAGTCTCAGGACCTCCCTCACACGTGAACGAACGGGCTTCTCAGACGCTGTGCGGCGTCTCCGTGTTAGCGTTTCTCCAACAGTGTAGTAATTCTGAATTTCCTGTCTGTCTTACCCACTTGAAACTGAGTTGCCAAGGGCATGGATGCTGTATACAGTGTTCTGTTCCCCTCCTGAGGGCCTAGCTTACAGCAGATGCTAAATTGAACAGAGAAAAAGAAACAAAGCAGCAAGGAGTGACGGACAGAGCTAGTGATCTGAAGAGAGGAGGCTAGAGGACAAAGAAAGGCCAGGGCCACGGGAAGGGGTGCGCACACGCCCAAGGAGCCAGCGGGCAGGGAGGGAAGGTGCTGGGGCAGGGGCGGGGAGGAGAGCTGAGATCCCTTACACACAGCTGATAACCAGCAGCAGCTTGGACACACTCTGCAGATGGAAACCGTTAGGGGTGTCCTCGGGGATATGCCGTGTCTGCGTGGAACCTGTGGGGAGAGTAAAGAGGCCATCACCACGGTGGCTCACGAGCCCTCTGGCTGCTGTGACAGGGGTCACGCACAAGCTTCAGCAAATGACGGAGAGTTGTCCATGATGTTTTCCCAACAATGAGAGAACAGATATGCCCAGCCCTCCAAAAGGGCAAGGGAAGCCCCCCAAGGGCAAGGTCATGGGCTGGATCAGGCGAAGTGGACATTCAAGTCACCAAACAAACAAGAGACTCAACAGCCTTATGCAGCTAGGACATGCAGAGCGGGGACAAAGGAGCCGTGGCACAGACAACCGCACCGGGCTGGAACCAGAGCCGGTTTTCCGCTCAGGCTGTGTCTGTAGCTAGTGCTGGGACGCTGAACAAGTCTCAGCTTCCCTCGGAGAGTCAGTGCATTCACACGTGTCACATTAGAAATCCACTACGTAAGGGAGGGGGACACAGAAGGCGGGCACCGTTCTCCTTCCTGCTCCCATCCTGAGGCACACCCCAGGGTGTGCAAAGCATGGCCTGAAAGACTCTGAACTGGTGGTATCTATGGCCACATGTCACCAGGCCACATGTCGCCATGAAGACATGAGGTTGTGCGTAGCTGGATGCAAAGAGGGAAACAGGTCAAGGCGGGGGGTGGGGCAGGTGCGGGGGCTGCCTCAGACATCTGTGTCAGGAGGGCACCTCTGGCCTGAGCTGCAGCTTCTCCCCAGTGTATTTGCCAAAAACCTGGAAGCTGCTCGTTTGAGTCCATCGAGGCAGACATGGGAGTTCAGGGAACTTCTGTTCAGCAGAGCCCACGTGTGGGTTCAGCAGGGACCAAGGAACATAAAGGGCGAAGGGAAACAGGTAGTGGATCCAGAGGCTGAATGATGAGTCAGTGGCAAATTACATACGATCTGTACCCATGGACGCAAAGGGATCGCGTGTGTGTAGGCCCCGGCACTCGGCACAGGCAAGCTGCTCAGGGCCCCAAGCCCCACCCCCACCGCCAGTGGGTGCGCACCTGCCACGTGTTTGATCCTGTGGCCCACGTCTTCATCGGTGGGTGTGGTGACGGGGCTCATCACCTCTTCCAGGTGAGGCACCCGCAGGTGGGCATGGGGACGCTTCCTCCTCCGAACGGCCGGGGCCTTGCTGGTCTTCTCTTTGGGAGACTGTCTGTGCATCTCAGCCAGGTACGTGCTCTCCGTCTTGGTCAGCTCACTCTCTGTCCGAGACAGAAGGCCGCCTGCCTCCACCTGCAGCTCGACCCACTGGCCTCCAGAGACAACGCTGCCTCCGCCCAGCCGAGCCCGCTCTCCAAGAACCCTTTTCCCACGCTGCACGCGGGGACGCTGATTGGCAGGGCAGGGGTCCCTTGGGGGCAGCGACGAGCCTCAGGAAGTTCCTCTGGGACGTACCCCCAGCCAGACCCCCCACTGTGGGTTCTGCTCAACACTGTGCAGAAACGTAGGTTCCCGACATCCACGCCCCCATGCAGACAGCTGGGGGCACGTCCCAGGTCCTCACGGACGCATTCCCAGGCTCACCCTTCCTCTCCGTACCGAATTACCCCCGGTGTGATGAGAGGTGGTGGTCACATGCCAGGGGTGGGGAGGGCTGGCCACAGACCCCTCCGAAGTTACCGGCACAGCCTCTCAGAAACGCACGTGTGCCCATGTGTGGCCCCCACCTCCGTGCTTCCCACTCCCGACCAGTGGCAGCTGCGTGGCGGAGCCCGTGTCGGCCCTGCTGCGCCAGTGCCGACGGCTGCAGCCCTGCTCACCGAGGTGGCGGAAGTAGTCCTCCAGCCCACTCCAGAAGTTCTTCTCGATGAACGTCTTCACCAAGCCCCAGGGCTGTTTGCGGTAGCGCAGCTCTGTGGAGACCCTAAGGAACAAGCCAGGAGCGAGATCAGCCGTTTCGCGGGATCCCTGCTCTACCTAGACAGGCCCTTCGCACCACACCCATGGTGTCATCTCAGCTCCCTGACCACTTCCGGAGGTCCGTGGAATGGGCAGATGGACCCTCCCTTTACAGGTGAGAAAATGGGAGTTCTAGAATAATCCAGCAGACCAAAGGCTAACATAGCAGGGCTCCTGACAGTGGGCCCACAGGTCTTTCATGAGGCCACACCGCCTCCTTCGGATGGGGCCAGGCAGCTGGCCGGCCGTGGGGGTCCTTGTCTTCTTCTGTAGACACCTGCTAGTCCAGATTAGGCTCTGGGGTTCCGTCACTCCCACCACTAGGGGAGTCATCTGCCACCGGCCCTGGCTCCCACCTCTCCACTCCCCAAGAGCACGCCACCTCTTGCATTTTTCCAAGTATTCTCTCTCCCAGTCATGGGTCTCTCTGCTGCCCATGCTGTCTGCACACCAGCCCCTTCCCCTCCTCTCCTCCATGGCCGTGTCACCACAGCTCCCAGTTAACGCTCCCGTTTTTTAAGGCTGCCTGGCCCCCTTCCCTGCTGTCCTCGGGGACACTGCGGCCTAATGCGAGCCAACCGATGCTTGCAAGTCACCCCACCATCCCCTTCCGCCCTGCCACCCAGCAAGTGTCACGGGGTTACAGGGGAGGGGCACGTTTCTGGGGTGGGGTGCATCAGTAACAAGCTGCCTCTGGGTGGCCTGGACAGAAAGGACGTGTCATCAAGAGACACTTCAAAAAAGCTGGAAGAGAGAAGCCTAGACATGGTGTGGGGCAGGATGGCAGGGGCAGGAGGGAGGAGAGATGATGGAGGCGCACAGGCACCCAACAAAAAAGTATTTTCAAAGAAGAGGATGAGAATGATGCGGGCCCTTTCTGAGATGTGGGGCTCGGAACGTCTCGACTCCTGAGAGGGCTCCCTGGGGCCCTTCACCAAAGCCCCGTCTTACGGCGACCGCATGAGCGAGGTCACGCGTGCACGCGGGGCACCTCCCGGAACCCACGGGGCGCTCCGGCCGCCCACCTGAGCCGACTCTTGTTCCGAGCCACGCGGGTGAGTGTGTAGCGGTTGATGGTGTAGAAGTAGTCGTGGTAGGGCACGTCGTGCGTGAGGACCTCAGCGTCGATCACATAACATTCGCTCTCCTGGCTCGCCTTGTACATGGTCTGTGGGGACGGGGGACGAAACTGAGGAGACGTGGTGGGAAGAGCACCGCCTTCCCTTCTCTCCCTGCACCCACCCCCGACTTCTGGGCGGAGACGGGGCACCCCGAACCTGTGGAAATGGCAGCCCAGCATGTGTCCCCGCCTTGGGGCACAACGACACAGGCACCCAGATTCCTCTTCACACCGTCTACCCTCAATCCTTCAGACGGGGCAGAGGCTCTTCCCGCCGCTCCTCTGCGCCCCCGCCCGCGGCTCACCTGCGTCTCCCTGACAGTGGCAGTTTTCGGAGCCAGAGGGTTGGTGAGGGTGATGGTGTACAGGATCACTCGGCTCTGGTTTCCGTTCTCTTCCTTCTTCCACGGATGGAAGATGATATCTGAGGGTGGAGAAGAGCCCCAGAATGAGGGCGGGAGGGAGGCAGGCCCGCGCCACCTCTGAATTTCCCCTCCCAGCGAACCCTTGACTGTACTGGCGGCCGGCTGGCCCCCAATGGGAAGCCAATGGGAGCCCGAGGGCCCCGGGAGGAGGGTGGGAGGAGGGGGAGTCAAAACAGAAAGAGGCCCATTGTAGCGCTGCCGAAACTCTACACAGGGCTCCAGAGTGCTGATTGTTCCTGGGGCCGGGACAGGCCGTCCGGGGGCCACCTGCGGGGGTGCTGGCAACACTGGAGTCACTGTGACGAGGGCCTGGGATCTTTGGGAACAAGTCCTCTCCTCTAAGGCACGGCCTCTGGGTGCCCTCCGTCTGCCCTCCCCTCCTGGCAGAGGGCGACGCTGATGCCCAGATGTTCCTTCATGGCCAGAGCCGCAGCCCCTGCGGTGGGGCAGAACAGGGGCAGGGGGACGAGATGGGAGCAAAGCAGGAAGGCGCAACGTCCTGGCTGTGAATCCTGGCTCACGCCCGACTGGGCGACATGGCCCCTGGGCAACGTGAGGACAGCTGGAGCTCGGGGTTCCTCACCAGTAACCCCAGGGATTGCAATGCTCGCACACGCGGCAGGCCCAAGAGTTACACGAGATGGTGTCATGTGCTTGGCACACCAGGGGGTGCCTGGCAGTAAGGGCTCGAGGCGGTTCTCTGCGAGACCATGAACCCTGAGCAGTCTTGCTCACTGGTGGGCCTTTGGGGCCTTGCGCACGGTGAGCTGGGGGAAGGAGGAACACACAGGGCCCTGGGGCGGGAAGCGGGGGGGCCCTGTGACCTCAGGGAGCCTGGGGAAGGAGGAAACTTGGGAAGAAGAGGACGATGAGTGTCCTGAGAGGAACTGACCTGAGAAGCGCCGCTGCTCCATGAAGTCCCGCTGGAAGGGCGAGTCCGTGAACAGCAGGTCATAGAGCTTGTCCACACTGAAGTTGAAGACCTCGTTCACGTACTGCCGGCCACTCAGGTCCTCGTAGAAGGCCTGGACCTCCCCTGCACAGAAGAAGATGAGAAGTAGGGAATGAGGGCTGAGGGGCGGCGGCCCCAGGGACAACCGCCAGGGTACTTCGGGGTCACGGGCCCCTGAGGAAGGGCAGCCCTCGTGGGTAGCGGCTCATGACCTCGCATCTGTCCATCTCCTCCTTCGCCAGCATGCACACAGCTCACTTGAACCAGTAGCCTTCCTTGACAAAGACGATGGGAATGTTCTGCTTGTTTTTCCATTTTCAAGCCTTGCTAAGGAAGCTGATCTCAGATGAAGATTTAAATGAAGGAGGATTTCCTGAACCTAAAAGCTATCAGTTATCCAGAGTCTGTAAGTTAAGCATGACGGAGCACACACGGCCCTGCAACTATGGCACAGGGGCATTAAAGGGACATGGGTTCATCTGCAATGTCCAGCTGGGCTGGACTGTAGGGCGACCCTCTCTAACTACACGGAGCTGGCTCCTCTTCCATAAGGCGGCCGGCCTCCCCCAGGATTTCAATGCTTGTCACTTTTCTCAGGTTTCTATCTGCTCCGGGAGAATGTGCCTGGGAGTAGAGGTGTGTTGCTAAAGTCCCGGCACCCCAAGCCCTCGGCACCCCAGAGTCCCTAATCACTGCACCTACAGAGGCTGCCATGCGGTCTCAAGCAAGAAGCTGACATTCCCGGTGCTGCTGCGGCTCAGAATCATACAGAGCCGGTGCCCGTGACCGGACAGGATAAGCACAGTCAGGGGGGGAACGGTCACGTCTGAGTTGATGTGCGTGTTGTGCAGTACCCAACCTGTGCGATTACTGGCACTGGCCTTGCATCCTGGATGGGACTGGGGGAGTTGCCGACGGTGAGGACACCACTCCAGGGGACCATCGGAGAGACCGTCCACAGGTGTTTAAATGAGCACTGTCTACATACATGTGCTAGTCCTAGCCTACCCCCAAGTCCGTGGATCAACCCATTTCATTGATACTGACAATCAGGCCCCTGGGCCCCGGAATGCCAGAGGCAATGCACACCAGAACCAGGTCCTAGAACCTGACCCAATGCAGGCAGGAGTGATGTTAAGAAGTACTATCTAGAAATACTAGAGAGAAGGGCAGGTTCCAGAGTCTGAGTGACCCGGCAACACCTTTTCTCGCAGCCTGGTCTAAAAAGCCAAGCTTCTAGTAAGATTGCATTGTTCCAGGAAGCGGCTGACCGGCACTTTCCCGTGGCACGTAAACACCACCTTGCCTTGCATCTCTATGAGAACAGCGGTGCCAGGCAATCTGGTCAACGGGGGGGACCTTAGTGGCAAGACCAGACTGCAGGACAACACATGACCCATTCAGTACGGACAGACAAATACGGAATGAGAAGGATCCTGCAGTGGCTATCCAGAAAATGTCCGTATGCTAATGACACATGAACCCACCCTTCTACCAGAAACCCAGAGACCAACGGACTCCAGCCTCCACACAGGGACATCCTGTTAGCCTCCAAACGGAGAGAGAAAGGGCTGCTCCACACACCCACTTCCGAACGCCCACCTTCATCGTGGGTGTCGGAAGAGTCACTGAGCTCAGTGGGGATGTCCTCATTGTCATTGAAGTCCAGCGAAGGGGAGGTCACAGGCGCGATGATCTCAATCTTCTCCCCGATGATGTTGTCAATGGCAAGCTCCTTCTCTAGGGACCCCTCGCCCTCCAGCACCTCCTCCTCCAGGGGCAGGCCATCGAACTGGGGTGGAGACAGAGGAGTCACCCAAATAGGGCAAACTACTCCGGGTCTCCTCTCCAAAGGGAGATTAGGGACCTGGTCCAGAGAGCTCTCACGTTCACAACACAGCCCCTCAGGGGCTGGGCTGGAGTCCCGCTCTAGGGGTTTTCCCCAGCTCTGCCATGGAAGGCAGGAGAACCAAGTGGAAGGTTCTGACCTTGTACTACCATCACACAATGCCCCAGCCCTAGCATCCAGCAGAGTCAGCTCCCGGAGCCACATCTCCCCCCTGCTACAACAGGTCGGCCTGCCTCTCACGAGCGCTCGTCTGCTAAGAGGCTCCAAATCTTCCTAAGCGCTTTTTAATGTATTCTCCCCTTAGCCCTAGAAGGGAACAGAGACAAACCTTTTTATTTTTAGGACAACCTTAGAGATGGAAAATGGAGATTAGGCACAGATGAATGACGTTTTCATTCTAAGGTCTGACCCCTGAGCCAATGGAGTATGCGTCTCCCCTCTCTGGGAATCCTTTCCAAGAATCCCCGCCCATTCTTCAACCTGCCAGTGCACACCCAACACTTCCTCTGTCAAGCTCCCATCCCTTCTGGAGCCAAGTCTCAGAGAACAAAGGCCTTTCTTAACATATTTTTATCTCTTTCGCAAAGTCTGGCACTGTGGAAAAATAAATCGGGAGCGTATACACTAGGAACTCAAAAACTAATTGTCGAATGACTGAACAGATAACAGATTACAGCCCTAGATTCACATGCAATTTTGACCTTGTATCAAGACAGTTAAAAAAAAAAAAGACCTGGGATAGTTCTCCGTAGAGGGGCCAACCTGGAGCTGTCACACCATGAACTTGGAATGGTTTTCGTATGCTCAGAAGCCAAACAAAACCTTGTATCCAAGGCGCGGGACTACAGCATCAGAACAAGAGAGCCCATCGGCTCCTGGAGGCCTCCTGAATCACCTGCCACAGGGTAAACAACCTCCCTTCTCCCCGTGTGACCCAGGCCGGGGTGCTGGGGAGTGCACTGGGCTGGGAAACACCGACTACGGGAGGAGGAGCAGAAGAAGTGTCCTATTGCCCATACCGAGACAGGGGCCTCGCTGCTCCCTGTGGACGTCAGTGTGCTGTTGGTGATGGACTTCTTGGGGAGCTGAGGACTGGCATCCGGCTTGGTCTCGATGCTGCTTTTGGATGAGCTGTCGTTCACTTCATTCTCTTCCACGGGGATCTCCTCACAGTAGCTGAGAGAAGACAGCACGAATCCCTATCACCTCGGCAGTCGAGACCGCTGACTATTCTAAGAACCTCACATCTGTCTACCTGTCCCCAACTATGGGCTTTCTTGCTTCTTTGCTTTAGCCAGGATCTTCCTCTAAACACCACCTCCCTGCTACACAACATTCCCGAAACCTCCTCCCCACCTCGCACTCCCCTCCCCATGTATGATTTCTGGCTCCAAAGTCACCTATTCTCTGCATATTCTCCTTAGATTTAACCCTATCCTATGACCCCAACCTATGACCGTTACGTGTCTTAAACAATCTTTCTTCCATGGCATCCCATCCCATCCCAACCTCACCACTGACAGAAACACCTGGGACATTCTGAGAATACATTTTATTTCCCACACAGTGATGAGGACTGGACCCTCCACAAGTGTCCTTTGGTGATAACACCCAGATTCTGGATCCTAACTAGTGAGCTTCTTTGCCCTGGACACCGGAAGGGGAACCCTCCCTGAGAGAAGGGTGAGTGCCTATCTAGGGACACTTCAGCCTCTCCCAAGGGAGAAATCAGCCCTGTCATCAACTTCTGACTCACACTTTGCCTATCACCCCACCTGGATGCAAGACAACTCTGAGTAACCCATGACATGTCTGCTCAAGACAGGCAGATGTTCACCGAGATTAAGTGGTATCACTACTGAGGGTCACTACTCCACACGCTTTCCCTGCTTTCCACGGCTCTGTGCTTCGCATGCCACCGCCGAGCCTCCATCTACCTCCCCACCTCAAGCAAGGCTAGTACGGCTTCAAGGCCCCATCCTTCTCAACACATCAAGCATGGGATACAGCGATGCTCCCTTCTCTTAAAGCTTCCTTCCCTTGGCTCCGAGCATGCGAGCTCTCCTAGCGCTCCTCCTACCTGGCTAGATGTTCCTTCAGGATTTCTTTTGCTGCTGCTTCCTCCTGCTGAGTGCTCCCAGGCCCAGTCCTCGAACTTCCTATGTTCATCCAACCATTTGTGGTTGCAGCTAATCTCCTAGCTAGCCACTCCTAATTCCCAGGTTTAGGCACTTTGCCCACACTTCCCTAGTAAACTCCACACTCACATCCACAAATGTCTCTGTGACATCTCCATTTGGCCAGCTGTCATCTCAAACCCAACTTGCCTGATCTTCCCCCAAAGTCTGGTCTGTAGCGCTGTCCATCTCGGTTTGGAACAGCCCTAGGCTTCCGGCTGATAAATCCAAGGAAACCTTAAAGCCATCTTTGGTTCCTTTCTAATCTGTCAGCAAATCCTTCAAAACAGACCTGATTCCACTTTCAAAATATATTCAGCAACGAACCACTGCTTGCCATTTCTACTGCTGTCCTCCCGGCCCAAACAACCTTCACTTCTCCTCTCAATTATTCAACAGCCTCTCAGCCTCTCAGCCCATCGCCCTTGTTCCTCCCTGGTCTATTTCCAATGCAGGAGCCAGAGCGCTCCTGTTAAAACGTTAACTCAGATCTTATCAATTACCAACTCAAAGCCTTCCCACGGCTTCCCAGCCCATTTGGAGTAAAATCCAATCGTCGCACTGGCCAAAAGGCCTTCAGGATCTGGCCCCGGCCTCTCCTCCTCCTGCTGGCCCTTTGTTCATTCTGTCCAGCCACCCACTGGCTATTCCCACTCACTCAGGCATCGCTCCCTAGGGAGGCTGCCACCACCATCCCAGGCCCTCTTGGAGGAGCTCCCTGGGCAGCTGCCCTCTGCCTTGCTCACCCCATCGTGTTGAAGTCGTCATCAGGGGGCACGTAGTCCTCATCGTCACTGGTAAGGCCCAGTTCATTCCCATAGCACTGGTGAACGAAGTGCCAGAGCTCCTTGGGGCAGAGGGGCTGCGGGGACAACAGAAGGACTCTGACCTTTCCTTCCTCGGGACCCCACGCTACACAGAGGCACTGAGCTAGACTCCCCTGGGGGTAGGAGAAGTGGACCTCCATTCTGGACTAAGTGGAGAACAACGCCTCTTCTACCTCCCTGTACCTCCTCCCAGGGTCATATCAAGACACCAATCTTTTGCCTAAAGATACAGCTTCCAGCCAAGCCAGGAACCTGGCCCTGTTCCCACAACTCAGGTTTGCATAATGGGATCAACTGCCCCCTTAAGGATGGTAACTACCCATTTTTTGCTTCTATGGACGAGGTCAAGCACTAAGCGTGATAAATCAATGTGAATCCTGGAGCCAAAGGGATCACAGAGCTTCTGATGTGGACCTGGTCCCTGGAGGCAGTCTCCCCAAGACACAGAAACCTCCTCATACTAACAGTGACCACGCAAGCAGGCCCCACTGCTTCACAGAACGAGGTGTGACCTCGAAGGTGGCCATTCCGTCGTCGGACAGTTCCCGTGGTAGAAAGAAGCCTATGTTCTCATAATTTAAGGGGTCTCAGAGGGGAGCACATCCAACCCTCTCCTGGCTACCTCAACACCTCCTTCTTTCTTCTCCACCAGAATGAGTCCGCCTACAGTTCTGGGTGCTGCTAGCCCACGTCCTTATTTCACCACGGGCCTACGTGCCCTCCTCAAAAGCTCTGTCCTGAGAAAAGTGAGCTCCCATGGGGTTCGGATTTGTGGGAAAAGAGGCAACAGAATGTGGAAAAAACGGCGACTGGAGGGACATGGAGGAGTCCTCAGTTGGAAGCGGGGCAGAAGGTGGCAGGGTCAGGATGTGAGGAAGAGGGCCAGAGACTTAAGGAAAAACAGAAGGAGTCAAAACACAAAGAAATATTACATCAAACTTAAAGAGCGGTTCCCATCAACAGATCTGATTAAGAACCTGAGAATTCTCGGAGATCAGCCTTTCCTGGTGTGGTTTAGGAAGCAGGCCGTGCTTCTGGCCTCCCAGCTGAGGAGAACTGTTCAGAATGGCACAGCCCAGGGCTCCCTCTGAGCTGAGAGATGCTGGCCCTCACCAAGCCAGAGGGAGGCATCTCCTCCTCCTTTCTCTGGGCCCCCGCCTCCTATCTCTGGCCCTGACGTAGATCATTCACCCCACCTGAGACACATTTGCCTCGCTGCCTAACCATGTCCTCCCCTTTGTCACAACTCCCCTTCTCCATGCACTCCTCTCTGATCCATCCACCAGGCTCGGCCTGCCGGACCACAAGCAGGATGAGGACAGTCGGCAGACATCTGCTGTGTCAGAGCTTCTGTCTTATTCACAAAGGACAGTGTCTGTGAACTGAATGAAAAATCCCAACCTGCCAGTGGAGGTTCAAATACACAGTCATTTTACTATTACTGATGGCTACTAAAGGCAGAAGATCGTAGCACAGATAAGCTACCTGGATTCGGGCCAGGGCTACAGGCCTTCAGGTCAGAAGAAATTCTAAATAATAAATCTGCCCAGTTTACTTTAGATTGCTTAAGAGTCAAGGTGGATAAATATGTGTCATGTATATAATTATAACCATGTAACTTCTCTACTGTGTCTCTTGCCCTGGCTTGGGGTTTCTTTCCCAACACCCACCCCGACTAGCCCGGGCATCTGAGTGGGAGTTCTTGAAGGAATGTGGCCATATCATCGCCAATATCCGTGTCCCCTCAGAGTCCCTCAGACACTCGAGTCAAATGTGGCCATATCATCGCCAATATCCGTGTCCCCTCAGAGTCCCTCAGACACTCGAGTCGTCAGATTAGGGGGCTTATTAACTCTATTTTTCCATTTTCTGGATTTCTGATGCTCTGGCATCCAAGGCCTAGCTGACTGGTAAGGGAATGTCCATCCCAGGGTTAGCTAATCCCTGTTGACAGAAAACAACTCTCCGGGAAGTTCACCTTTTGTATGTCACTGGCCAATCCAAAGCCTAGACCCTCAACCCCCTTCTTTCCTAGCTCCTTACAGTCGGGGCCCATGTTACCTGGCCTTAGGTACCCCAGCGACAGGCAACTAGAGACAGTCTCCATGTCCCAAGGCCTGATGGAATTATTCAAACTAGCCAATTCTAAACCTGGTTGGCCCTTACCCGGCCTCACCCAGTCCTTCCTGCAAAAGCCACAACGAAAGCTCTTATCCATGCTTTTCCCTTATGCTCTCTACCTCCTAATGGACCGTGGTCTCCTTCCCTTCCCCATGGGATCTGCGAGGTGTGACAGGCCTCTGCCTCTAGGAACCTGTGAGTATAGAAACCGATTCCTCCCTGACAGTCCTTTCCACCTCTGCAGGTCTCACAAACCCTGGCACGTTTCAGACAGTGGAACGGAAGTGCCTGAAGTTAGTGAGGGCCTCGCTCCAGGCAGCAACCGGGCAGCTCACAGACCACCACCAGGAGGAGAACAGAGAACTCACCCAAGTCTGGGGACTTCCAGAACCTTGATGACACACGGGCTGCTCTGGAGCCAGCCCACGTCACAGAAGCCCACTCTCGCCACGGAGCCCTCACCCCAGGGGAATGAACATTCCAGGTGGATGCGCATCCTGAGGCCAAAGGACGGAAGCAGCTGGGCAGTACTCACCTTTTCCAGGAGTGCGTTCTGCCAGAGCCGGAACATCATCATGTATGTCCTGTCCCGGGCCCCAAATGACGTGAAAAAGTGCTAGATGGGAACAGAAGACAGCAAAAAGAATCCTTTAAGACTCACAATATAATGGAGGGAGACAGGGTGCTTCAACCTTTTAAGGAAAGCTGCTGACTTCCTCCCCAAATACTACAGACTCAGTTATCCACGACCATGACACCAACGTACTCTAGTGAGAGGGACCAGCCCATGGGGCCCAGGCACTTGGGACCTTCAAGTCCATGGTGGCCCTAAGTCCTTCGGTATTCACCCCTGCTTTCCAAGGCGCTTCTCCCTCTGCTTGGGAGGTTTTCAACTCCATAAAACAACTTTCCTCACCCACCGACTGGACCCGGGTTAAGTGGTGAGCTGTAAGCCAGACTTTGGGAAGGAGAAGACAAACCCTCTCACCCTCTCATTCGCTAATTCAACAAATATTTGAATACAGTACGTGCTGGGTATGATTTTACATATTTGGGGTACAGTGACAATCAAAACAGAAAGGCCGGCTCTTACTGTGCTTACATGTTAGTGGGGACCCCATAGAACACGTGGGAAGGAAACGATGGGGAACCAGATGTCCTGAACACGATCTAAATGCTGCTTCACCTAAACCACACAAAAGCTTGGAAGAGAAACTAACCGCCAACGCCTAATAAAGAGAAACAAGCTGGTGGGATTAGGGGTCTTGTGTCATCACAAGGCTGATTCATGTCAGAAACAGAATTCAAACCAAAGACTACCTGACCCAAAATCTCAAGGCTGTTGCCACTGAACTCCCCAAGTCCAAGGGCTCTGCAGTCCCGTGTTCGGCTCAGGCCTAGTCCACCCCCAGCCCTGAAGCTCTCAGTCTCCAGGCGCTGGTTAAAGGTCAAAGATCCCAATGTTTCCTCGGCCCCATATGTTACCTCCCCCATGCTGACAATCCACTTCCTACTGGACTCTGCCGATGTGTAATAACAATCATATTTGCAAAGCATTTTACAGTTCAGTGTTTTCAAATCCGTGACGTCATTTCAAGCCTTTGTCATGGGAATGACTGGCACGACGTTACGCATGAGAAAACTTAAGTGGAGAGAGGTTACATGCAACTCCCAGGGTTACGGGACTCAAATTCAAGTGCTCTGGCTCCAAGTCCAGTGGACTGACCTTCCGTCCTCACCCCTGCTCAGACTCCAAACACCCCAATCCAATGGAGGTGGTCCCCACCATCTCCATCACCTTCCCATCCCCCACCCCCATCCTCCTGGCCTCCATATTCATGCAGTTGAAGGACAGAAATACAGAAGTGGGGTGGGGGGGCTGGGGATTGGGGTGCCAGGGAGTAGAAGGTCCAAGATTAGTCTCACTTACCTTTTCAGAGTCAGTGCAAACTTGAATGGCATTGGGAATGAGGCGAGCTGTTTTCTCTTTAGTCATGGAGCAGATGTCTTTCAAACGGACCGTCAGCTGGCACCCCACAGGGACGGAGAACAGATAATAAGCAAGAAGAGACATTCACTGAGTCGGCCACGAGTGTTTACGTGGCGCCCATTCAGAGGGAGGAAATCACATCTCAGTTTACTTATCTCTAAACCTGGAAGGGACCCCGTCAGACATCACCTGGTTTAGCTCCCAATTTCCCAGAGGCCACGCAGCAAGGTGGTGGCTGAGCCTTGCCTTGAGCCCAGTGTTGTCTCAGCTACTGGTCCAGGCAGCCTGCCTTCTCCCGTCTACACAGTCTGATCAATGTGCACAGCCCTATTGCTGCTTGGCACTTACACAGACACAGGACAATGACGCTGGATGGAACCATAAGTCACCAGCTTATCTCTTCCTGCTTTATTTTATAAGATGAGGAGGCAGAGGAAGAATAAAGGGCTAGCCTCCTGAGACACAGCTCACTAGGTGGAAAACCCAGACAACGTTCAACCCGGCCCTGAGTGCCAAGGCCAACGCCCCTTGGACTCAACTACTCTATCTCCTGCGATGACTTTTGCCAAATGCTTACCCCCACTTGCCAAAAGCAAATGCTTTCATGCTCTCTTCTGCACCCAAGAGGGAGGGAGGGGAAGACATGGCAGAGGAGATGTTGCCCTGAAGACTCAGGCATGTCCTTTTATGCAAAGGCGTGGGTAGAGCAGGAAGTCAACCAAAGGGGGAGAGTGGGGGCAACTTGCTCAATGCTAGCCAAGGGGACAGCCCAGGGAGAAAGCCCCAGGTCTTTACCAGAGTTTCCCAGCGGAAGATGTTGCTGTAGAAGCAGATCCAATTTTCAGAGAGGTAGAGTCGGCCCTGAAGAAGAATGTCTCTTTGGAGTGCACATGAGTAATCTGCGGTAGGATGAGGGACAGAGGAAGCATCTTCAGCGAACCACTACCAACGAGGCCCGCCATCCCTCCCACCAGCACTGCAGGAGCTCCGCTGCCTGCCACTCACTAGGTGGGTGAGACACTTGAACTAGTGGCCAAGAGGGTCCCTAGCAGCTGACGTGACGTTAAACACGCCGTTGCTGCCTGGAGGCAGAGGGACGGAGGGGCGGCAGAGAGGACGAGAAAAATCAGAGGGAGTAGAGGCCGATAAAAGTCAACTGACACCCCTCCCCCATCCATGTTACCCCAACCCTTTACTGCTGGGCCACCTGCAGAGGGAAGAGTGGCAGTGACTCATCCTGGGCTGGGCTCTCTGCCGGGGCCATCACACACACGGTGCTCAGCCCAGATTTCCTTCCCGCTCCCATCCCCTGCTCTCAGGGTCCCCTGGCTCACCAACAATGAGACGCTCCGTGTCTGGAAGTTGCTTAAAGAGCTTTCGGAAGTCTTCATTTCTCTGCTTGTAAGTTGGGCTTAACACCTGCGCGACAATGACTGAGGTTAGCAGGACGTCCCCAGGTTCTGTGGGGATGGGGAGGAAGACACAGCAAGAGCACCTGCTTGCAGGTTTAAAGGGTGAAGATGAGGCTCTGTTATTCCACAGACCCTACGTGGCCCGGTGAGGCCTAGGGGGCTTCAGCATGTATGGATAAACACCCCAGGGAGAATCAGACACTCCGAAAGGGTTTGTATCCAGTGTCCATCAATGAGAAAACGTCAAACATGCTAAGCAGGGCCCTACTGGATACCAAGAAGAGAAAGGAAGGAGGGACCCCTCCAGGGAGCTTCCCGGGAGCCCACCACGAGAGCTACTGCTGCCCTGCCTTCTGCCAGCAGGAAGTCCCACCTTGACAGCAAAAGGGGGGCCTGAAAGGGTTCCCCCAGCCCCCTAGCAGGACCCACAATACGATGGTACTCAGTGCATCTCTTAGAAGCAGTGGTTATCGTCACTGACCCAGTAAGTACCTGTCTGGGTACGACATTCGCAACTGGAAAAGAAAAATCTTACAATGGAAGACTATTACGATGGGACTTGTCGATTATATCTCAGTGAAATGGGGTGGGGGAGAACTGTACTTTACCAAGACTAGATTAAACAACAACAACAACAACAACATAAAACCAGTACTAGAATAAGCACAGGAGCAGAGAATTTAAAAGTGTGTCTGGCAAGTTGGAGACACCCCACCTTGAGGCCCTCCCCACCTTTTACAAGCCCATCTAACCCAATCCTTCCATTAGCGATGAGGAAACAAAGGCCCGAGAGGAGACCCCTGCCCAGGAGCCCCTGGGCTGGTCAGTGACAGATTTCTGCATCCCAGGTCCTCAGCTCCCCCTGAGCCACCACCAGAGCCTGTGCCCACTCAGCTTTTTGGGTGCAGACCTATCCCCATAAACTGTCTTAGCAAATCCTCCTTGGAAATTCCCTCAGTCAGCTGAACAGACAGGAAACCTGATCTAAGCTTACAATCTTAAAAAAAAAAAAAAAAAAAAAAAAAAGGCAGCATATCCTGTGGCTGAAAGGCACCCAAGGATGACACATGAAGATGAGGGCACAACCTAGGAAGAGCCACGCATCACGACAGAGAGACACCTGTCCTCTAGCCAGGCGAGTCACTGACCAGCCTACTCATGCCGGGAGCGTCCCAGATTGTCCTGATGGTGGGGACAGGTAGGTCTTGGCCATTTACACTTTGCACCCACTTCCTTGGCAATGCACCGGTATACAGCTGTGGCAGCAACATGACGTGCTTTAGTCGGTGACTTCTGGCTTTCTGCAAAGCTGAGTGGCCCACGAGCAAGCTCGGGCTGTGGTCTGACCGCGTTCAGGGCACCCGCTTAACTAGCTGAGCTCAAAGTGGCCTGTTGGCTTTTGTGCTAGAGGCAAGGGGAATATTTCAGGAAGCTGGAGGAGAAAGGAATGGCAGGACTTCAGTTTGGGGGAGGATTTCTAGGACAGAGAGAGAAGACAATGCTTTCAGCTATGCTGTCTATAGTTAATTTGGCTTTGAAACTTCTGTCTTGGCTGGTTTATAAAATGAGCCATCCTGGTAGTAGTCAATGCACAGCTACCTTCCCCAAAGGCACGCTGTGCTGTAGAACCCCAAAGTCACCTGCTGTATGTCTGAGCCAAGCATCAGGGCCACTGGGAGTGAATATCTAGAAGTCAACCTATCCTCTGACTTTTATGGCTATTAAAAAAAACCCTCCAAATACCACACTCCTCTGGCCCATAGGTTGATTCCAAACGGATACCAAGATAGCCAATCCAGCCGGCACCCTGGCCTTGCAGAACACAGCCCACACAATGAAAACCCTTGCTCGCCCACCTGATTGTCACTAAGTTCCTAATTATGCCTAAGCGACCCTGTACAGCTACAGCTGAGCGAACATGAAATGAGTCATTACCACGCACGCTGCGTTACCATTAGCCCTTCACATGTATCATTTAACCGGACCACAGGCTGTTTCCCTTATCCCATTTTATACACTAGGAAGTTGAGGCACAGAGAGGTTAAGCAACTTGTCTAAAGTATGTGATTCCGAAGTGGGAGAGGAGAGCACAAACCGAAGCAGCCTGACCCAGGGTCCCTGGTCTGAGCCACTGTTCTGTGATGGTGCCTCATGGTCTCGGTCCCAAGAGGGCAACAAGGATGCCCCAGCAGAGCACACCCTCCGAGGCGATGAGATACTCACATCCTTGGGGGCACCCACTCGTCTCTCATGCCCACGAGTGGTCTCCTCCCCGCCCCAGGGGGTGGTAATAAAGCTTCAGTGTTTCAAGATGAAAAAATTTTGGAAACTGGGTGCAGAACAATGTGAATGCACTTAACGCTACAGAACTGAGAAATCCTTACAAATACTTCAGATGGTTAAGTTTTAGGTTCTTTACAATTAAATTTCTTTAAAAAATAAAAAAAAAAGTCTCCAGCAGGCGAGTCTTCCTATTTTTACCACGTTCCCCCATCAGTCCGAGAAGCAGCCTAGCAGACAGCCCCAGGCCCCCTCAGGTGTTAACCAGGCATCAGGCAACCAATTATCCAAGACTGGAAGTCCTCCTGTTCTCACGTGCTCTCCACATAGCTGCCTAGCCCCTGCCTCTCTCTCGCCTCCACAGAGAACTCAGGCATTGACAGAGGTGGAGGTAGGTGCCTGGCGTCTGGCCATCATCTCCCAACCAGACTGGTGGCAAATGGAGGGAGCTGCTCCTCTCCTCTCCTCCCCTCCGAACAAAGCTGTGGCCGAGGGAGAGGGAGGGCAATGCTAGCTAATCTCTCAACTCAGCCAGTTCTATCAAAACTGGCTTGGGTGCAGGAACTCCTTAACGCAGCCTTGGAGATCAGTGCCCTGATTCTCCCAGGCTGCCAGTATGGATGGCAGGCGGGCCTCTGCCTCCCAGACTCTAGAGACACGTCAGGTCGACCCCCCCCACCCCCCATATATCCTTTTGACGCAAAAGACCTCGACCCTCTATCTCCCACCCCTGTGCTCTTAGAGCAATTTCCTCGGAAAGTGAGGCGTGGCTCACCTACTTTAATTTAAAATGGTCAGAGGATTTTGGTTCAAGGATGGTCAGGTGGGGGGGCCCTCAGGCAGCAGGAGTGAGTAGGGAATTACAGGGGTGCGGCAGAATGGTCACACGGGCCCAGAGAAGTTGGGATGCACACTCACAGCTGGGATCTCCTCAGATTCATGCCAGCAGCAGAGTTCTGCACCAACAGGTGGATCCGGAAACTTCTTCAGGTACCACTGCAAAGGCTGACTATCCTGCTCCAGCAGGAGGCTCAAGAGGACCCCCGACTCAGTCAAAGATTCCATCGCTACCCACGGCTCCTCCTCCCCAGAGAGCCCAGCTCCTGGAGCTCTGGTTCCTGACTGTGCCCTCAGGATGAAAACAATCAGCCTCGTAACGCAGATAGGCAAACTGCTGGCTTCTCGGCAGAGGGTCTGTGTGACCCTGATTGGCCTCCTTCTGTCTCCCAGAGCTCCGTTCCTAGCTCGAAACCTCACAAGTGGGAGGGTGTGGTCAGCATGGCTCTTGGGACAGGCTGGCCGGCCAGTGTCCCATGGCCAGGTTCTGCTGCTTCACCCCACTTTGGCTCCCACAAGGTGGCTGGTCTTTGGGCTGAGGGTGACCCAGAGAGGATGCGGTGGGACCCCTCCTCCTGGTCAGTGTGGACAGCCACTCCGAGAGGCCAGCTGAGGCCAGAAGAGGCAGACGACACGGCAGGTGCACAGGGCCAGCAGGAGGGCTCCGGACAGCAGGCCCCTGATGGACACGCTGCACAGGAAGAGGATGACCCCACAGCCAGGTCCAGGGGTGCACCCCGCCAATTCCTCACACCCCGCTCACAGTTGGTCAGAAACTCCGGGGAGAGAATGAACTCCCGGCTTCCCAGCGCCGTCTGGTCCGTCCCATAAGGCAGCCCGTTCACTGTGCAATCTCTCCGCTGGGCGGGCACTGGTCCCTATGACTCACAGCCCTCTCCCAGGCAGAGCGGCCACCACTGGCTGTGGCAACAAGGCCTGTTCTCACCCCCACCCCTACACACACACCCCTTTCCTTCCCCACAACGTGCTCTCCTGAGCTGACCAGCAAACAACTTCTTTGTTAGAGCGGCCCATGGCAGGGGGGAGGCAGGGTGGGTGGGTGGGCAGGGCCGGAGTCCTACACATGCCTCAAGTTACAGGATCTGGGTGATGGTACTGGCCAACGTCCTCCAGTAACCCCTCGGCCTAGTCTGGTCTCCCCAGCAGATGTTTCCTGCAATGGAAAGTAGCTGGCCAGGGCTCTGGGGGGAGGGGAGGAGGGGAAGGGGGGGGGAGGTGCCGGGGGCACGGCTGCTATGATGAAATCTGAAATTGGAGACGTTAATAGCCAGGGACTTCTGGAGCACACTCCTGTCACTGCCTCACTGGTCCACGGACCTCCCTGTGCATCGCACCAGCAGGGGGACTGGAGTTTGACTCCTCTCTCCCCGGATATACTGGTGGGGAGAAGTTGGGCAGATCGCCTGGAGAAGTTGAGGTCATCAGTTCCGGGGACCCTCCCCTGCCTCCAGCACTAGCAGGAGGGGGAATCCAGGCCAAGAGGATTCCCAGGCTGCTCCTCAGACCCTGAGGGCCAACTAGCAATGCTAAGACCAGAAACTCTGGCCCCAGCGGGGGTTAAAAGGAAACAGCGCGAACTTAGGGAAGCAGAGGAATGAGAGTCAGGCCAGTGGGGCCAGGAAGGGATCTAGACAGAGAAACCGGGGCAGCAAATGCATAGCATTGGGACTGGGAAGACATGGGTCCCCAGGAAAAGTTAGACCTTTGAAACAAATGGGGCACCTGCCTCGCCCTCCACAGCGATGCTCTCCGTGTAGCGAGGGTCCCAAGCCCGAACGTGATGAGGACTGGTGCCTCTTAGGAGACTCTGAGGTCTGAGCCAGCAGGACTCCAACACGAGCGGACTCTAAACAGAGCTAACAAATGCAC